TCTCTGAAACCCTACTCTCACCGACCCAGTAAATCGTCGGTAATTAGGCAATTAGGGTCTACACAACTACCCCTCTCAAGACAAATTTCAATTAAGCATAACTATCAAAATCTAACATTTCACCAACAAAAGACTCATCGGCCTCACCTCTTCCAAAGTCTGGACCGAGTTTGCTCTTTGTTAACCGTCGAAATATAAATTTGAGTAATAAAGTAATATTTGAAAAGTCTGTGTGTGGGAAAGTATCATTAAACTATTATTTGAGTGGAAAAAAATCATTAACTCTTGTTTATAAGATAAAGTTTAATGTTAATTAAAAATGATTTTTTATCCTTAAATCCTTATAAGATAAAGTTTGATGCGTGGCGATCGGAACACAACCAAAAAGAGGAATTGGTGTTGAACTTAAATCCTTCATCTTATCTAGAGGATGATGATGAACAACAGTTTTCATTTAATTAATCTTCTAATCCATCATTTTTTATCTAGATCAAGATTAAGTGATGCTATAATATATGATTGATTCAAAGAAAATATATGATGGAGCATTATGTTTGTATTTTACGAATCCAATTATTATTATTATTATTATTTTTATTTTCATTTTCTTTCACCAATAAATTTATTATCTACTTGAACTAATTAATTTAAAAATGTCTGCTGCTGGTTCACGTGTGAACAAAATAATTGTTTCTCAGCCGTACGATGGGCAGTGAACCGGTTTAAATCCATAGTACTTTGGCCGTTTGGCTCGTGTTACGGATCGTGACCGCCGAATCAAACGGAGTAACGGACAAAAGCATCCGTCCAACCGTCACGTGGCAAGACACCATTTCTTAGATCTTTTTTTTTTTTTTTCATTTAAAAAAACCAACAAAAGGGAAAAAGAAAAAGTTGATTTGATGTTTTCCTCTATGACATTGACAACGAAGGATCAAGATAAATTATAAACGGAAAATAATTCAAAGCTCTTTTTCAATAAAAATATTATAAATTAAGAACTTTTCAAACTTTGAAATTCAAACTGTATTTTATGGAAAATATTTTATTTTTTTTACATAAATATATATTTTTTTTTCCCAAAAATAGCTTCCGACAAATCCTCCCATGTGGGGTAAGAATGCTCTGGAAACTTATAATATTATATTGTTTATTCTAATTTGAAAGATAAAATTGTAAAAATAAATATGTTAGATTGAGATTTTGAGCTACTCAAATATCCTGTGCACTTGATCCATTATTCTGATACTCTTTAAAATAATATTTTAAAAAAAGTAAAATTAGGTGGGTATTACGATGTAGGATTTAAAAATTAACAAAAATACCCTGATATGTTTGTTTATTTACTAAACACCCATATAATAAAATATTAAAAACTAACAAAAATACCCCCTCCTACCCATTAAATACCGATAGTCAGCCACCACCGTCGGAGGGTGGTCGGAGTTGACATAGTGGCATACAATCGACTGGATCTGGGCAGTCGTGCGTCGATATGACATTTTTCGGCCAGATCTATAGATCTACAGCTAAATCTAACCACATTTGGTCGTTGATGGTCAACGATGACCATATTTTGGTCGTCGTTAACGACTGGTTACTGCCAAAGATCTGGTCTTTTCTGACCAGATCCACGAAAAAGGCTAGATCGATGCACTACCGGCCAGATCCAGTCGGTAGTGCGCCATTATACCAGATTCTGGCTAGCTTCCGGTTGTGGTGGCCGAAATCTAGCAAATGTGGGTTGCTGGGGTAAAATTGTCAATTTTTAAATTTTTTTAGGGGTTGTTTAGTTAAATGAACATATCTATGGGGTTTAAAAAGAATTGAATACAAATCTAGGGGTTTAAAAGAGTTAAATAATATTTTGAGAATAAGGAAATAAATGTGTATTTTGGATAGAATAGGGAATAAAGTAGTGAAAAATTGTGAAACAAAGGGGCCCTAATATTTATTATTGACTTATATTGTAGTATAACCCTTAATAAAAATTAAATGGTAATTTAAAACTATATTTGGAGTGATAGAGTGATTCGATATAAATTTTTGGGTGTATTATCTAAGAAGTCTTGAGTTCGAGTCTCTCCTTAATTGTTAATAGGTACTTTAAAATCATCTAGATCTATCCAATATGTCATTGGAATATTTCAGTGAAAAAATAAAAAAGAAAATTTATTAGAGATAAAACATATTTTAATTAAAAGAATCTAAATTTGGCCTCCACTTGAGCTAATTAATTTTAATTAGCGGCCTTAATTATCCTGTTACATCGTTTATACCTTTTCACATGACTTTATGGAAAAAAAAAAAAAATTCAAAAAAAACCTATTAAAAATTCATGGCTGAAATTTCTCTGTAAAACATCATGTATTCATGGTCCATCAATCTAATTCAATCGAAATAAAATCATTTGATTTAATGTAGAAAATCAAGCAAAACTAATGGACCATTTGTCCATATACTTTAAAACATTACAATAGGAGACATGTCTCTCTCAGTTGAGGGATAATTTTGTTAATATGTATATTAATGTTTCTTTTCCAAAAAGATACTACAATTACAACATCTTTATCACTTTTTATTTAATTACCCCATTTTTTTAAGGTAAAGTTTAGGCTTGTACGTTTGGTAAATTTTAATTAAAAAGTTGAGGACCACTAATTAATTCACTATTGTGGCCATTTTTTGAGACTAATTTATGTAATTAGTATATTAAATTAGGTTAACGTTGGTAAAATAGTAATCTTCAGGACCCTGAAACTATCGATTGGGTAAGAGCTCTAGTGGCTATCCCTTTAGCAAACGAGGAAGGATTCGAACTCATGACCTCTTGAGTAATACATCCAAGGTTTTATCGAACACTCGGACACTCAGAGGTAGTTAGGTCAAGTTTTTAATCAATGTGTCAAGTCATTTATTATGTATAAAAAATAATTAGTAAATATTATTTGGGTCTTTTTTTTCTTTATAATAAATTTATTTATAGTGTAAAGAAATTCAACAATAAATATACTAAATGAAGCAGTAATTAGCCTTTAATTTTCGTGTACGAAATGGTGTTGTGAGAGTTACATTTTATTTTAATCAAGAAAAAAAAAATCTAACAGTCAATGTTATGATAAATTAATTAGAATTTACAGATTTTAATATGATAATGTTTGTCTTCAGATTAGCATTTCATTAGTTTTGATTTAATGATTTATATTATATTAAAAAATAAATAAATAATTTTTATTTCTTAGACTAAGCATCAATCCAATTAACTTCACATGAAATTAATTAAAATAATTTCAAAGTCAAATCAAATTAAACATAAATTTACAAATCAATGAACATTATACCCCGAATTAATTGATTTTTTCATTAAATTCATTAAATTCAAAGGAACATTAGTTTCCTATTATAATTAAAAAAAAAAATGTGATTATGTGAATGCAATAATTTTAGCTTGGTCTTCTGTAATTTATAGTGGAAAAAAACTTGATATTGACTAATTCAAAGTAGTTTATAGTTTAACACACGGATTTCATGAGACAATTAAATTTAAATATTTAAGTAAAAATAATCATAAATTTTATTAAACATTTGAAATAAATTTAATCAATATAATAATTGAGTGTTTGGTTGTATTTAATTTAAATATGATTTTCAAATAAAACATCTTCTGAAAAACATATACTTAGATGGTTCTAATTAGGGGTGGTGGGTCTGAGTACCGCCAAAATCAAAGGAACCGAAAACGGCCGATTCCTTGATTTGGAACCAAAACAGAACTGTCAGTTCCGATTCCTAAAAACTTGGAACTAGAACCTGTAACACAGGTTTTGGTTTCGGTTGGGTGTCTGAAAAATATTAATTACCCTCAATTAAAAAAAATGACAGATAAACCTTATAAAATTATAATTACACCTAACAATTAAGTGCAAAACACTAAAAAATAGATTTGTTTATATTTTTGATGTTTGATGCTTGATTATAAGTATTAATTGTTGTTTTCACCGATAATAAAAATTTAAAGCTATCTTTAACGTAATATCTATGTATAATAATTTTTATATCAAGTAATAAGTGAAACTTAAATATATAAAAAATTGATCTTTTAACGAAAATTAATAAGAATTTTGATACTAAGATAAAAAAAAATAAATAAATAAATAAAAAACCAAAATTTTCTTTATATTTATATGATATGTAAAATATTAAAAAAAAACCCCATATGCAAAATATCAAAAAAACTCATATTCTTTAATATTTATCAATTAGTCCTGATTCTCGGTTCTGGTTTCGATTTCAGTTCCGATTCCTTTGATTTGAAACACGAAACCGAAACCGAAACGCACAGTATCAATTCAAATTTTTTGGAATCGGAATCTACCCTATTATGGCCGATTCCGGTAGGAACCGGAACTGACACCTGGTACCATCGATTCCGGTTCTATCCTAACATTTTGCCCAGCCCTAGTAAAAATATATGTTGCTTTCTTGTAAATTATTTGGTCTATTTAGAAAAAAAAAAAATCAAAAAAATACCAAAAATCTTTAATATTTTGATATTTAGAAAACAATATTTTGATCATGGTGAAATTATTTATATGTTATTTTATACCAAAAATACTCTGACACTATATACTTTTGTTTATATTAAATACCCACTAATTAAAAAAATTACCTTATTTTTTCATAATTTATTTATAAAATTTGTTGTTTTCATGTGTACCTATTCAATTAAGCATTAGTCTACTAACTTTATGTTAAAATTATTAATCTAACTTGTAATTTTACCATTATAAAACAAAAAATTATTTATTTGGCTTTTAAAAGCACTTTTTAATACGTGGCATAATAAAGATAAATAAAAATAGAGTAACACATTAATAATCTTACCAAAAAAAAAAAAAAAAGTGTAATAAAAACCAAAACAAAATGGACCCCACACGGTTGAACTCTCTTATAAATAGCCTTCCCATTACACGCTTTAATCTCATCACATTCTTCAGGCTGCAGCAGCACCAGACACCAGCACCAGCACCGGCACCAGCACCAGCAACATTTCAGGATCAAAACTTACACAAAATATTTCATTCATAATCTCTAAAACAAGAGACCCTTTTAGCTCTTCTCCCCAAAGCTCTCAACTTTTCCCTCAGTTTTTGCATGGCAGTGACCTTACTGGCACATGAGGTATCTGACCTCTGTCTCGGCAAGCCGGCGCTGAGGGCTCTTTCCGTGTCCGCCTCCATCGCCGACGCTCTCTCCGTGCTCAGAAACTTCGAGGATAACTTCATCAGCGTCTGGGATTGCGAGCACAACAAGGTGCATGAAAGTGGTGATGCCTTTTTGTGTCAATGCGTTGGCAAAATTTGTATGGTGGATGTGATTTGTTATCTTTGTAAAGATGAAAACTTGTTGTCTCCTTCTGATGCATTGAAGGCACCTGTCTCTGTGCTTCTGCCTAAGATTCCGGGACTCGTGGTGCATGTGGAACCATCTTGCAGGTAATCCAATTACTCTTTTCAATGTGGGATTTATGTTCATTTTCAGTTTAGTTTCATTCAGTTTCAGAGATTTTAAGTTCTTGAAGAAATGAATTTCTGTTTTTCTGCTTTGATTGTTGGTGGGTGAAATGGTAACTTGGTAAGAAAAAATGAAAAATTATCATTTTGAATCTGGAAAAAAGGAAAAAAAATCTGCTAAATCTTGTTAATATCGACTAATATTTCTGTATTTTCATCATGTTTATTAAATGAGTTGGAAGAATTCACTTTAATTTTAAGCTGGTAACTGAAAAAGTTTTAATTTTTCTTTTTTGGTGTTTATTGTGATATAATTAAATCTTAATGCCGGTTTCTGATTGCAGTTTACTTGAAGCAATTGATCTCATGCTTGAAGGAGCACAAAACCTGGTAGTACCAATCAAGAACAGACTGAGCACAAGAAGAAAACAGCTCCAAAAGCTCTCACCAACCAGTCCAACAAGCCACAATGGCCGAGAATTCTGTTGGCTAACTCAGGAAGATGTAATCCGATTCATTCTCAGTTCCATTGGCCTTTTCTCTCCAATTCCTGCACTTTCCATTGACACTCTAGGCATTATAAGTTCTGATATTATTGCTGTGGACTATGACTCCCCTGCCTTATTGGCCCTTGAAGCAATCTCTCGCTCACTTATTGATCAAACCTCAGTGGCAGTGGTTGACACTGACGGCATTCTGATCGGCGAGATCTCGCCCTTAACACTCGGTTGCTGTGATGAGACGGTGGCTGCCGCCATCACAACACTCTCCTCTGGGGACCTTATGGCATACATTGACTGTGGAGGACCCCCGGAGGATCTTGTTAGGGTGGTGAAAGACAGGCTCAAGGATAAAGGCCTGGAAGGAATGTTGGAACAATTCAATGTCGACTCGAATTTATTGTCATATTTGTCTGCAAGTTCTTCATCAGATGAGGAATCAATGACAAGCACTCCAAAGTTAGCAAGATCAGGAAAGCATAGCAGGTCAATGAGCTATTCAGCAAGAATAGTAAGGAGAGCAGAAGCGATAGTTTGCCATGCGAAGAGTTCTCTAGTCGCAGTTATGATTCAGGCAATTGCACATAGAGTGAATTATGTTTGGGTTATAGAGGAGGATTGTAGCTTGGTTGGAATTGTAACATTTTCTGACATGTTAAAAGTTTTCAGGGAACGTTTAGAGAGCATGACCTGAAAGATGAGGAGCTTTTTAGTAAAGTTCTAGCTTCTCATTTGAAGGGTCCGGAGCTGAAGTGAAGATGTTAGAGAAGAAGGAAATAAAAAAAAAAAATAAATAAATAAAAATAGTAAAGCTATGTGAATATGGCTCCTTTTTTGTTTTAATCATCTGGGTTGAGAAGTTTGTTCTTTTGTTTGTACGAATTGTAATGGGTATCATTTCTTTAATTTGTGTTGATCCTAATCCTGTTAATTTATTTCATCTAGAGTGACAGGCAAAGGAAGAAGATTTATATATTCTGTCTCCTTGTGATCATCTTTTTCTCATGATTCAAGTTCAAATATTAAAAGATTATAACGTATTAAACTAGTAAACAAGAATAACTAATGAATTAATAAACAGATAAGAGATTGTAGCATGGGATAAATCAGGTGTTTAATTTTTTAGAGTAATGCTGCGGACACCAAATTTGGGCATTGAAATTTGTTACCGAAGGACGTGACATCCACTAAGATGTAGCCACGTTGGACATAAAATACTAATTTCGTGAATGGACGATCGTTCATCACGGATGAACGATCGTTCATGACAATATCAATGAACTTTCGTCCATATAATATAAATGGGTATCCATTTATTATGGACGCCTATCCAAAAAAGTTTAAAATAAATAATGGACGGCTGTTCGTGTAAGATGGACGTCTGTCCACACTCAAATTCTAGTTTAATAAAAAAATTTCTTTAAAAAATTATAAATTGTGAGTACTTTTATCTCTCTTGTTTTGCATTTTTTTTATAAATGAAAAAAAATTGTAAATTTAAAAAAAAAAATTATTTGAGTATGGACACTGGTCAATCTCATTTGGATGGTCGTCCATTGTATATGGGCGACCATCCTCATTAGATGATCGCCCATTGTAAATGATCGTCCATTGTATATGGGCGACCATCCTCATTAGATGATCGCCCATATACAATGGACGAGGATGTAATGAGGATGGTCGTCCTCATTACAATGGACAACCATCCAAATGAGATAGACCGTCGTCCATACTTTAAACTTTAAAAATTGAAGTTTTTTTTTTTTTTTTCCTTTTATTTCATCTAAAAGTTTTGTGCTTTATCTAAAAATTTTGACTTAGACAAGCCATAGGTTTTTATAAATGAAAAAGAAATTGCAAATTAAAAAAAAAAATTATTTGAAATGGACTGACGTCTAATACTTTGTGCTTTAAAATTATATGAACGGTCGTCTATAGTAAAGGGATTCCCGTCCATAATATATGGATGAAAGTTCACTGATATTTTTTGAACTCTTGTCCATTCGTGATAAACGATTGTCCATAAGATATGGACAGACATCCATAATTGTTAGACAATCATTCATTCATTAAATACCTTTATTGTAATACCTTTATTGTGTCTTACGTGGTCTCGTCTGAGTCAGAGGTCACATGCAAAATTTCATACCAGCATTCAGTGTATGTGGCATTTTTGAATTTTTTAAGGACTTGATGGAGGAGTAGCTCAATTCTTCTTCATGATGACAGCTCATGGTTGTTGGATTAAATTGCATGAGAAGACAAGGATACTGCAAATTTGTGTATCTTAGTGTGTATTATTTTGACCAACAACTTCTGTATTGACAGAGGTAAAGAGGGACGTGGCATAAATCTACAGCTTACTCTGAATTTATGGGCTGGAACTCAGGGATTATGGCCATGTGAAGTAGCTATGGCTTGCCCCACAATAAAATAAATTTGCTTCTGCCACCATATTCTGTAGGAAATCACTACAAAAGATGATAAAAGTAAACTGATTAGGTCCTGTTAAGTTAAAAAGTTTTCATCAGTAGTTGGTCCGTTATACTAAATTAAAGCTTAAATGTAAGGTAAGACCTTGATGGAAGGCAAAATTCTTGAAAACTTCGGAACTGAATCTCTTTGATTTTGTCTTTTGAAGTAGTTCTAAAGCTCCTGAAGATTTCCCCACATGGGGAATCTCTGCTTGTTGAGCAATCTATGACTATGAACATATCACACATATAATAAGATTCTCCAAAAAGCACATTTGAGTCTTAACATGTTCTGAACCTTAAACATGAGAAATAGTATGGTTAATTAATCAAATAAAGGAGATGTTTATGACTGGAGAAACATACTGCAGAACAGTCTGGACTTCAGTGGCATAGCGTCAAGTCATTCAATCAACTACAAGTTTCTAAAAACAACAGCAGCATTTCATTCAAGGCTTGATGGCAAGAGACAGTTGTAATCCATCAAGCCTTCCAATAACATAAAAAAGTTGAGATGGGGGGCTGGACTCTACTTGGAGTGTGGACAAACCAGAGCCGTACAGTCAGGTGTAGGCTCACAAAATTCAACAAGTTGTTTAATGTCATGTCAACTGATAAATGAAATGATAATGAAACTAGTTCTGTTTGCTGGGAAAAGCCAAACATGAATTCTCAAACGTGCATTGGATTTTATAATATTTCATCTTTCATACAGCCGTGTGAAATGAAACAAGTTCGAATTTTAAATTGATTTCATTCCAAATGTATTCAAACCATTTGAGAAAATCAGACTTAGTCCAAATGGTCAATATCTAGTACAGGTACAAGATCGTTTCTAGTAGAAAGGAAATATAAAATTTTTATATTTTTTTACTTGTAGAGTTGAGTATTATCAAGCCAGCTGGTGAGTAATTTTTCTGCAAATTCAAAGCTATGAAAAATTTGTTTAACTAAAATACCTACTTGGATTTTGTGAAGCTAACACAGATCATGAATTGACATATACAGAAAAGATCATGTGCTGATCAGATTTTGAAAAGCAGAAAGTAGGAATTGCTTATTAGAGAAGCACTTACTGTTTTAACTGCTTATTCTAAAAGTTTCTTCCAATTGAAGGGGGGGGTGAAGTGGTAAAGTTATTTGACTGTTTTGAAGACCATTAGGTCTGACATTCAGTTCAAATAAAGAAACCAAGAGATGGGAAAGGAAAGTTCCACAATTAACAAGGCAGATGTCAACCGTAAACAGGATAAAATCATTTAATGAATTGGGTCGCTGTCAATGACCAGACAAGAAACAAAAGTCTTGGAAAATAGGAACTATGGGAAAGGGAACAATGAGTACTTCCAACAACAGTCGAGCAAAAGCATAAATGGAGACTGTTAACTAATGTTGTCTTTATGGAAAATGCAGACAGGAACTTTCTTTTGTAGGCTTCTAAAAGATTGGTCCCAAGCCTTTTCAGTAAATTTGCATTGTCGTGAACATCCTAGTTTCTAGGATAGCTGGTAGGTAATACTCCTACCAGACATTTTCCTTTTTTCTCTTGTAAAAATTGGTCCTTAGCCCTCAAGAACCGGTAAACAGCAGCTGTAACCATATGTCGGTAATAAGGTAGCGATATTCTTTGATTGGATAAGTTCCGACCTGCACAAAAGCATAATGGTTTGGGCACTGCTCGGTGAAATAGACATGTATGTGACTTTGATAATTGATACCACCCTAGCGGAATAACGCTACAGTTACCGACGGGTGTGTACCGAATTTATGCACTGAATAACATGACAAAATAATAATAATTGATTCATTATAAGTTAATATTAATCAATGGTTATGATTTTACTACGTCATTCAGTGCACAATTTTGGTATATACTTTTCAGTAACTCTACCATTTTCTTTTATGAAATTCTATAAGAATTGTTAAGGGAAAAGAGTCCTCCCTTTTTCAGAAATAAATAATAGCATAAACCTCTACAGAAAGCAGATGGGGAAATTCCATGCAGGTCATGCGCTTTGGGAAACAAGATCTGTGATAGATCACATGCAATGCAGGTCTACAATAGGCAAAGGAAGCATAGCAGAGGATCACAAGCTAGGCTGGCAAAACAGAACAGGACAGAGGACAGTCAGCACAAGACAAATGGCAATATGGGAGAGGAGCAGTACAACATTCTGTTATACTGGGCATTACAAAAAGAGAGCAGATCGTGAGGGAAAGGAGAAAGAGAAGACAAGGTTTATTGGGAGGCAGCTGGCCCTCGAAGCACAGCAGAGTTATCTTTTTTTCTTTGAATCTGTTTGAGTATTTTGAGTACGCAGTAGGCTTTTATTCTGGTTTTTGTTTGCATTTCCAAAAGTGTAATACAGAGTCTGAATCATTCAAATACAACCTTCAGTTCTTGAACTTTCTGTTACATTTCTTTTTTTACTGTTACATTTCATTGTTGGGTTTGCTGAGTTGCTGAATCCTATCAATCTGCCTCGTCTTCCATTTGCTGAATAAAAATTTCAGTCGGTTGAAGGCATCCTCTTAACTTGTCAAGTCCAAGTTGTGCTCGCTCGTTATCTCCAAAACCAAATATTCGCCCTTGTTGACTGACTACAACAGTGTGGTACAGACCAGTGCTAATTTGAGAAACATGGTGACCTCTTAAGCTATCAAGGATTCGTGGCTTCATAACTTTGTCATATGTAAGCCCAAGGCTACCAAACCCCATCCACCCAAAGCCATAAACAGAACCATTATCAACCAGAACAAACGTTTTCCTCTTTCTTGCACACACCTACAAGATGAAATAAAACAATCCCAATAAAGTGGCATTAAAGAGTAGAATAGAGTAGCATTGAAGGCAAATCTTCTAATTCTTACATGGACAGAATTCTTTTTCAGATAACAAACCAATAATTCATAACAATTAAATGCTACCAATAAATACCTTTTAGGTTCAATAGTGAATTTTTTTTTAATAACAATGCTTTTTTCCGACCCAGCTGTTTAATTTTATAATCATAACAAGAAAGCGGAAAAGGTGAATTCAGTTATGATGTTTGAATGCACCTATATACCTGATTCTGATTATGGGCTCAATGGTTAACCAAAGTTTTGATAACTACACTTTTTCTGATCCAGTTGTGTAATTTTATAATCAAAAACAGAAATTGGTAAAGGACTTCAATTTGATGTTTAAATGAACACAGAACCAATAAATTAGGAATCACAACTTTGGTCTGATAAATGCTGCAGACCTTGGTCCACTTGACAAGATCATGAAGGCACAAAGGTGGACCAACAGTAACAGATGAAAGAGAATATATCAAAAACACTAGTGGAGACGGAGACACATTTTGTGGGAACCTGATGCTGGGAGGAAAAAGGCCCCTCCCGATGTATTTGACACTGAAACTGGAAGGAATGAAAGCACAATTTTCATTCTTGCCCTAATTCCTACAAATTAAGTGTGTCCTATTACAATCGCTAGAATATTGCATTTGTGTTAATAAACAACATGCAGGAAAGCTACTAGGTATTCTCTTTCGTCAGGAATGATATACTGGATGAATGAACCTAACCTGGATAGCTAGTTGGCTCTTAAGGCTGCTCAAGAGTTCTGGAATAGTCTTATCAATCTCATCACCATGGCCTAGAGCACCACAGTAACCTTTGCCCCAAGTATATACCTGCAACCACCAAAAACCAAAGTCAGATATTCACCAAATCCAAACAAACTAAAGAAAGAAAAGATCTCAGGGAAAAAACTAACAAATCCACTGGAATCAAGCGCCACTGCATGCTCATCACCAGCAGAGACACGGACCACATGAATGCCCTTTCTCTTAAATGTCTGGACCACACGTGGTTGGAACTCATTATGCTGTTCTCCATGTCCAAGACAAAAATTAGAACCAGAACCAAACGAGTAAACTTCCCCATTTCCAGTTACAGCCAGGACATAACTTGGACCAGCAGCAATCTGAACTACAGAGCCAACTTCCTCAATCGATGCAATGCTTCTGGGTGTTGGCCTGTCTACAGTGTCACCATGACCAAGCTGGCCGTGTGTGTTGGACCCACATGTGTAGACATGACCTTGTCTTGTTAGGAACACAGTGAAATTAAGCCCTGCAGCAACCTGAAACAACTTCTAGGTTTTAGTATAGACTGAAATCATTGTGAGTGAAAACACTAACTTAGCCAATATCATGTCCCCTAAAAAAACTAAATTCTGTACTGGAAGGCCTAAAATCCACCATAAAATCATAATTAAAATTCAGTCACACTTCTAATCACGTCTTCAGTATGAGAAAAGAAAAAAAAAAAAAAAAAAAAGGTGATAACAGAATAAATCAAACAGGCCTTAAAACATTAGATAAGGTTCAATGTATCATAAAAAGATGTGGCTTTTGAAACCTACAGGCAGACAACCACTAGGACAGAGCTAAGAAAATACAGCATCAATTAAAGACAAAACAATCATGATCATTAAATAAGGACATAATGCACTCATGACACTATATAAAGGTCAATAGTTCCCACCAATTATAACATTTCCTCTTATTAGCTGGTATATAGAAGCAAGGAGAAATACAAACACGTCTGCAGACCCAATAAGGATAGAGCCAACATGTATGACATCTACAATTTTCAAACTATAATAACATATAACCAATATATCTACAAGAAAACAGAACTGATATGAACTCTACCTGCTTGCAAGGAACTCCCTTCAGTGCTTCAACACGCCTAGGCCTAAATATGGGACGGCTTGTATCTCTATGACCACAACAATAGGATGAATTATCTCCACATGTAAAAACCTGTGCCAATAATGGGATATATCATATGATTGGGTGAGGTACTATTCGAATGAAACTTTGTCAAACGATAGCAAATGGAGCAGAAAAGGCAATATTAGAAAAAGAATTCAGCTTCATAAGAACAATAACAAAGAATTAACTTAATTCTTGCTTTAAAATTTTCACATATAGTGGCCGAAAAATGAGTTACAAACCTCTCCAGATTGCAAAATGAAAGCGGCATGATTTTGGGTGGCTGAGACTTGGACCACATTTGCTGCATATGGAAAATTAATCCGTGCCAATGCTCCACATTGTGTTGTTTCAGGACCATGACCAAGAACACCACATAAACTGGAACCACAAGAGTAAACTGATGAATTGCTGATCAGCAATGTGTGATACCTTCCAGTTGTAATCTGCATCTGCTGATAAAAAGCAACAATTTAATATAACTTTCTGTAACCATCAATCAAACGTGGAAAAACTTCAATTCATTGGTCTTTTTTATTCTGTTTGGGGAGAAGCACAAGAAAATTAAACATCTGATTGATGTGGATCATAAAATTAGAAAAAATAAAAAGGGTCCTCCTATCTTGAAAACCCATGGGATATATTTTCAAGTAAGCAGCTACAAAAATCCTTTCTTAACAGATGATGTAGTATTATTTTTGCAACTTCTGTTTTCTAGTCCCGCAACAATAATCTGTATGGAATGATAAATTATTATGTTAATTATTCACAATCCTTCTTCTTCTTCTTTTTTTCTGATAAATTCCCTTTACTTTATTCTAACCAAGAACAAGATTACAATGCAACAATAATCTGTACGGAATGATAAATTATTATGTTAATTATTCACAATCCTTCTTCTTCTTCTTTTTTTCTGATAAATTCCCTTTACTTTATTCTAACCAAGAACAAGATTACAATGTTCCTGCTCATGAATACCACAAAGCACAAAGGTAGGATACAAGATATTGAGAGTAAGACGGTAGCTTATTAGTTAATTTTTAACACAAAACAGGAACAAATATGTAAGACCATAAATAGCATATTCCTCTTTATCACTCGAGTTTGCATAACTATAACTGCAATCCTAAAATATGAGGATATTAATAATATAAGTAAACTGGTATTTTGTATTTAAATCCTCATTTTCTAGATAAAGTTATAATTCATTAATTCATAAATCAGAAAAGCAAAAGCAAATATCAAAGAAATAGTACATTGCCTGCTGAGGTTTCAACCATGTCAGAAGAATGCTCCACAGACTGCAAGAACCTCAACACACGCTTCCAATTCTCATTACACCGATCAAAGAGCTCTTTCTGCACTTTCCAACTCATCCCCGCATATATGATATGTGATGCACAAAGCTGAAACGCCGCAAAATCCACCAATGACCGGAATTTATGGGGGTACAACCCATGACTCCCTCCAAAAAGTTTAGAACTCAACTCTAGACATACTAGATCAACTGCACTAAGCCGCCCCCTTATCAAAATCTCAAAAATCAAATGAGAGGGCAAATCCTCAATCGAAGCAGACCTAAACCGATCAGCCATTTGTCACAAACTTTAACTCGACTCCACACAAAACCCCCTAATACTTTTATCCTTCAATCTCCAAAGTTGACAACTAATCTGCTTAAATGAGCTCTAAATTTCAAACTTTCAACAATAACAATACAACCAAAGAATAAGTAAATTTGAGACCAAACTAAGACAGTTACAGACAACAACTATAAGTCAAAAGATCAAATTTTCAGAAGAAATCTAAGACAATTTAAACAACATATAAAAAACACATCCAAGGGCAGAAAATTATACGAAATTGAGCTCAATTGGCACACTGATCGGAAATAATAAATCATCAGAAGAGACCAATCGCAATTCACAACCCAATCCCCAATAAATTGTCGTACATTCAACGAAATTCAGACACTCCCCTGCAGATTCAGCACAAATAACTCAATCAATCACATATTAATACAGCTATTACTGTAATCCCATTAATAAAAATATCGAAACTTTACCAATAAAAAGCAATAATTGTCAACTTTTCGGTGCCGATCTCAGCTTTTTAGCTCTTGCTTTCACCGAAAAATGGGAAATGAAGATTAAAAAATCGGGAATTCAATTTGAAAAAGTTAGGGTTTATAGATTATTAGCTGTCGTTTGAATTGGCAAATGAGAAGGAATCTGTGTGGACTTTAGTAAGTTTCTGTGAGAAAAGTTCTCTTGGCGTGTTTCGTTGATTCGACTCGTCGTCGTTTTATTTGTTTATTTAATTTGCAGGATTTTCAACCCCTCTTAAGGTTTAATCAAATACAATGTCCCCCTGTAATTTCATAAACAACAAAAATCCTCCAATTGTTATTTAATCGCTAGTATCTCGTTAGAGTTTATAACATGGTGAATTAATAAATATTTACTTAAAAGTAATGTTACAACCATCGATGGTAGTGTACTGAATGACGTAGTAAAATCCTGACCATTGATTAATATTAAGTTAAAACTAATCAACGGTCAGAATTTTGTTACGTCATTCGGTGCACTACTGTCGGTGGTTGTATTATTTTCCTTTACTTAATTGTCTTTGTACCATTTATTTAACATCAAATAATTAATGGTAGGTTGTTCTACATACTTTTCGACAACCCGACTTATGCCACCTGTCTATACCCCATACCAAGATCCAGTAGTTAGTATCATCGCACGTGTTAATCCCATAGAAGATGACTTCACCAACAAGCTCATCAGTATTAAGCATAAGTGTTCAGACATAAGTATAGACGGAGTTGACTTAGATCTAGATTACGGGGATTATGCGTGTAATATACCCCGTAATAACTACTCCTAACCATTGTTAGACATGTATAAAAGAGAGACATCACCTCTATTTTGGAGGATTCATCGTTCATGCAAGCACAGGAAACCACTTAGAAAAAGAGTTTAAAAACCTCTTGTTTACTCTTGGTTGTGGATTTTTTAATCCAATCTTAGCTAGTTATTTATATTCACGCATACATCCAACCCTATCCGCCATGGTCGATTGGGTATCTTTGGTTGTTACGAGTTTTTGTAACAACATAGAGTATTTCTGTTATTTCTCTAACTACAGGGGACATTTGGTAATATGACTATATATGAGGGAAATTATTGTAATTAACCCTTCTCTTAACTGCGTTGTGTACTTGTGTTCTGTCAGAGAATGGAGTGACACGTGGCGGAAAGAAAAGGAGAGTTAAGTCACAGCTACTGTTTCAAAGACCGGGAGAGAGGCGTAAGCGTGAGAGTAAAGAAAAACTTTGCACACGCGATTTGGAATAACCAGTGACGTGACTTCGACTGTTGAAGATTTGGCGCGTGTACTTAACTTTTAGATTTTTCATTTTATATTTCTTAAAAAATTAAAGGTGGATAAACCCTAAACCCCTAATCTGCCGCAAACCGCCGGCGAAACACCACTCTATCTCAACGCCTGTATCGCCGGAGAGCTCAACGGCTGGCCGCCTGGAATCTGTAGTGGTCTCGAGAAAGTAATTGTTTGTTTGTATAGGTAATGAAGGCGGATGCAATGCAGCATGGTGATGATGAGGAAGAAGAAGAATTTGTTTTGCTTGATCTCGATGATTTACCTGAGGAATTTGATATTCCCCCAAACGCGCCCTATGTGCTCTCTGTAAGTTAATCTGATAGATTTTTTGGAGAAAATTTTCCAAATACTTTATGTGCTATGTTATTGTCTGTTAATTATACAGTAGTGAATTCTTTATGTTTGACCATTTTATTATGATGGATTTCAATTGCATTGCAGGGGCTGGACACTTTGAATCCAGTATTGATCATTGATGGCAAGTTGAAACTAGTGAGTTGATGATGGCTTTGCTAAGTTCTGTGTTGTGCTTTTTGTTATCTTTCTCTCGTTGAACCAAGAATCAGATTACAAATTTAATTAATTATTTAGGATTGAAATAAAATCATACATCTAATATTGTTATGGAATGTCAAACTATTGAGGAAGGACCTGAGAACTTGATGAAAATTAGTGAAATTTAGATTCTTGGTTTTGTTTAGAAGTTAGGCTTGTTGATGGAAGTATTTACCTACTGTGGATTACTTTATCCATAATTTATGAATTAACATTTCTTCTATCAAAAAATAAAAAATAATTGTGAATAACGAGCTCTTGGTCACCACTCTTTACAGATTGGAGAATATGAAGAAACAATTGGAACATGCTTTGTTTTCTCCGAAAATGGTAAGAAACATTTCATTTTATAGTTTATGCATTTCCTTTTATTCTACTATGTAAATTGAATTTACTAAGGGTTTTTATCAGTTATATTAACATTACAATCTAATTTAAGACAAACCAAATTTCCTTCTTAGATGTGGTATCTTTAGGTTATTATTTGTTTTGATTGAGCTACCAAGGAGTGGAAGGCTTCTGTGTTTTAGTTACTACTTCCCTTTGTTCTTTGGGAAGACAAAAGTGACATTGTATAATTGAACTACAGAATCGTGAAATTCCTGCAGCGTGAGAACATTAACTGCCAGAAGAAATTTCTATCCTTGGTTCCAATTAGTTTCTGAATATAAGTAGTCCCTAGTAGAAGCAGAGTCACTGTACTGGTTCATTTTGTAATCTATATATCATTGCTCAAGCAGGTGTCTCCAGTAGATGAACTAGTATTGATTTATGGGTTGATTAACTCCCAACATGTTTTGAAGTAGTGGGTCCGTAAACACTTATCTTGAATTGGTCACTTTATCTTGTTTGTTCAAGTGTTAATGTGCTATTATATTTATGTTTATCTTTGTAGAAGCTGCCCCTGAGGTTCATGAAGTAACAGGACCATCAGAGGAAAACCTCTTTGCTGGCAAACGTATAGTAGATTCAGATCAAACTCCTAGAAAGCAATTGGAACCAGTTGCTCACCTGCATAAGATTCTTAAGTTCAGAATATTTGTTGATGATGATGATGTTCAAGGTGCGACTCCTGAACCAAGAATTGAAATTGAAGAAGGGAAAACCTCAACCCCTACTCAATGATATTTAACATGCATTCTTCCTAGCGAATAGAAAGTAGTTGACTAGATTCAAGCATATTCATGCTCAGAAGTTGCACAGTAATTTTGACAATTAACATGATATATCCCATAGTAACTAGGTTTTGTGTGCTGCAATCACTCACTCTCTATGGTATATATAACTCTAGTCTAAGATAGGAGGTTTCTGCTGTATAGCTGATTGTCCATGCAGATCTTTTTAGTCAGTTGTGAACCTCAATGTCTACGATATTGCCATGAGTTGAACGTTATTGAAATCCACATGTAAAGTTTTATGAGTTGGAAATTTGTGTACTATGATGTCCTCGCAATTGATCACTTCCTTTACTCCAGATAGTTCTTGTTTGGTGTACCACTATCTTCATTTTCAGGTCTCAGCTGATTTTCTTCCCAGCGCTGATTCCTAATTCAGTTATTGAATGAAGCAGATTTAAGATGGTGAACACATAAAAGTTTTGATTAAATTCAGTTAGTGAAGTATACAATAAATGTCAAATGGGAGGAATAAATCTTGTCATTTTTAATGCAAATAATTCCAAAGCAGAATGAAATACTGGAGGAATATAAAAAAAAGCAGAAATACGATGTGAAGGCTTCTAGAAGACTAGAACCCTTTAGGCAAGAAAGTATCTGCAGGCAAAACGCCATACAATAATGATTTGCTTACAATTGAATCATACGGTCAGATAAAAATTGCACAAAATTTATATAAAATGATTACTCTATAGAAAAAAATGACAAAAAAAATTATGTAAAAGGATTACTATGTCTTTTGATTTTTGGCTAGTTGTATGATTCGGTTATATGACTCAGTTGTAAACAAGCATTATTCAACGCTACAACTTTGATTTCACCTCAAATACTCAAATAATGCAGTCCCACAAATTTCACCCATAATGATTAAGAAGTACCATAATTTCACCCCAAATGAGGTAATTATGGAATCAAATGAACCTTTACTTGTCAAATAGAACCCGTACTCTTGTTAGTTAAGAAGGAAGGTCTATCTTTAAAACATGGCATTCTAATGAAAATGTGTCAGTAAATTTGCCATCACCGAAGAGTATGAAATAAAAACCAGAAAGCCAGAGGAAGGGGAAGAAGATTGGATGTCACACAAACAGAGGAGGGAACCGAGCTATAAAACCAATGAGTGTATGTCATTGAAAACCAGAATGATAGAATTCCTCTTTTACTCGTTACAAACCTTTAACACTCAAGTGGAACAAGCATATGATCTGTTTCAAATTAAAGTTTCAATCAGAAAACGTATAAAATACAAATGTTGACCCAACCAAACGAAGTGAAGAGAAAGATGATCAGATTATTGCTCTGGAAGTTTGTCCTTCAAATATTTGAGAACCGCTTTGGTGCCTCTGTCCAAAATCGTCCTCTGGATGCTACAGAAAAGACAAAAGATGAAGATAATAAAAATTAGGACGGTTTATCATTCTGCTTGAGTTACCAGTAAATTCCTATATGTCATCTTTCCGAAGTTCACATATTAAAATTATTTCAACCATGTCAAATGTACATATTACTGGGTTTCATTTGATTTTACTAGGCCATATTTTCACTTCATTCGACTCTGGCTCACAGTCATTTTCAATTGGAAAGTTCCGGTATGCTTTGTATACGCTGCTATAGATGTCGGGGGAAAGTAAAAGTATACATAAAAGAGTAATTTACAACCCACGGAAAGTGAAAGTATCCATGAAAGAGTGATTTACAATCCAGGGAAATCAATTTATCTTTTCTACAAATCAAAATGCCAATCCTATTGAAAGTACGACATTAATTCTATCAAGTCGGTGATTGTGGCCATTAATTTGATTTTTCTTCAAGATGTTTTCCAATATGTTTTTGCTTCCTTGTGATCTTTCTAATGAAACTCATAAATTGATTATAAAATGCTAGTCTACACATCAAAAGTCCAATGAAATTTCACCCTGCACTAAAGATAAAATGTACGATCTCATTTTCATGAGAACTTTAACAAATTTAAAAAAAAATAAAAAACAACAACATGGTGATTAGTAGCATACCTTCTCAGTGGATTTCCATCAAGTCTCAAAGCCTGGAGGCTGGGTTCTAGTAAACCCTGGTGAAACAAAAGGAAAAAAGAAGAAAATCTTTAGCATATTTAATGAAATCGAATATGCACAACATATCATGTGATTTAGTAGATTATCCACCACAAAAGATTCTTAAAGATATATTGCACAATTTCTTAACAGATTAGAAGAAGCAGAAGGCAAAAAGTTAAAAGTTTGATTAATATAGTAGAAAATCTTTCAAGTAATCAGCTACTCATTAGGAGTCGAGTAAACTAAACCAACTGCCATACTACCAACTGTATCAAATCTTTTGACAAATGAGAATGAAGAGAATTTAGTTATCTCATCAAAAAAGAAAGCAGAGTTCAAACTGCAGGCCAAGGGGCTTTATAGGACCTAAAGCAGCTTTCATCATATTTCACTTTGCATGATGTGAAGATCAACTTCCCATTACTAATGCAGCAACATGTCTCCTATCCACGAGGTTTTAATGAGGGTTGTGAAAACAATAACCGTTGCATTGTCACAGTTATGACAGTTCCTGTTTTGCTAAATAGTTATCAGATGCCTTGTAATGTGAACACATTCCTTCACTCTTTTGGGTTAGTGCGGTGACATTGCCATTTTACATATTATCAACCAGTGTTTTTCTATAACCAATCAACATCTAATATTGTTATGGAATGTCAAACTATTGAGGAAGGACCTGAGAACTTGATGAAAATTAGTGAAATTTAGATTCTTGGTTTTGTTTAGAAGTTAAGACTTGTTGATGGAAGTATTTACCTACTGTGGATTCCTTTATCCATAATTTATGAATTAACATTTCTTCTATCAAAAAATAAAAAATAATTGTGAATAACGAGCTCTTGGTCACCACTCTTTACAGATTGGAGAATATGAAGAAACAATTGGAACATGCTTTGTTTTCTCCGAAAATGGTAAGAAACATTTCATTTTATAGTTTATGCATTTCCTTTTATTCTACTATGTAAATTGAATTTACTAAGGGTTTTTATCAGTTATATTAACATTACAATCTAATTTAAGACAAACCAAATTTCCTTCTTAGATGTGGTATCTTTAGGTTATTATTTGTTTTGATTGAGCTACCAAGGAGTGGAAGGCTTCTGTGTTTTAGTTACTACTTCCCTTTGTTCTTTGGGAAGACAAAAGTGACATTGTATAATTGAACTACAGAATCGTGAAATTCCTGCAGCGTGAGAACATTAACTGCCAGAAGAAATTTCTATCCTTGGTTCCAATTAGTTTCTGAATATAAGTAGTCCCTAGTAGAAGCAGAGTCACTGTACTGGTTCATTTTGTAATCTATATATCATTGCTCAAGCAGGTGTCTCCAGTAGATGAACTAGTATTGATTTATGGGTTGATTAACTCCCAACATGTTTTGAAGTAGTGGGTCCGTAAACACTTATCTTGAATTGGTCACTTTATCTTGTTTGTTCAAGTGTTAATGTGCTATTATATTTATGTTTATCTTTGTAGAAGCTGCCCCTGAGGTTCATGAAGTAACAGGACCATCAGAGGAAAACCTCTTTGCTGGCAAACGTATAGTAGATTCAGATCAAACTCCTAGAAAGCAATTGGAACCAGTTGCTCACCTGCATAAGATTCTTAAGTTCAGAATATTTGTTGATGATGATGATGTTCAAGGTGCGACTCCTGAACCAAGAATTGAAATTGAAGAAGGGAAAACTTCAAACCCTACTCAATGATATTTAACATGCATTCTTCCTAGCGAATAGAAAGTAGTTGACTAGATTCAAGCATATTCATGCTCAGAAGTTGCACAGTAATTTTGACAATTAACATGATATATCCCATAGTAACTAGGTTTTGTGTGCTGCAATCACTCACTCTCTATGGTATATATAACTCTAGTCTAAGATAGGAGGTTTCTGCTGTATAGCTGATTGTCCATGCAGATCTTTTTAGTCAGTTGTGAACCTCAATGTCTACGATATTGCCATGAGTTGAACGTTATTGAAATCCACATGTAAAGTTTTATGAGTTGGAAATTTGTGTACTATGATGTCCTAACAATTGATCACTTCCTTTACTCCAGATAGTTCTTGTTTGGTGTACCACTATCTTCATTTTCAGGTCTCAGCTGATTTTCTTCCCAGCGCTGATTCTTAATTCAGTTATTGACTGAAGCAGATTTAACATGGTGAACACATAAAAGTTTTGATTAAATTCAGTTAGTGAAGTATACAATAAATGTCAATGGAAGGAATAAATCTTGTCATTTTTAATGCAAATAATTCCAAAGCAGAATGAAATATTGAAGGAATATAAAAAAAAAGCAGAAATACGATGTGAAGGCTTCTAGAAGACTAGAACCCTTTAGTCAAGAAAGTATCTGCAGGCAAAACGCTATACAATAATGATTTGCTTACAATTGAATCATACGGTCAGATAAAAATTGCACAAAATTTATATAAAATGATTACTCTATAGAAAAAAATGACAAAAAAAATTATGTAAAAGGATTACTATGTCTTTTGATTTTTGGCTAGTTGTATGATTCGGTTATATGACTCAGTTGTAAACAAGCATTATTCAACGCTACAACTTTGATTTCACCTCAAATACTCAAATAATGCAGTCCCACAAATTTCACCCATAATGATTAAGAAGTACCATAGTTTCACCCCAAATGAGGTAATTATGGAATCAAATGAACCTTTACTTGTCTAATAGAACCCATACTCTTGCTAGTTAAGAAGGAAGGTCTATCTTTAAAACATGGCATTCTAATGAAAATGTGTCAGTAAATTTGCCATCACCGAAGAGTATGAAATAAAAACCAGAAAGCCAGAGGAAGGGGAAGAAGATTGGATGTCACACAAACAGAGGAGGGAACCGAGCTGTAAAGCCAATAAGTGTATGTCATTGAAAACCAGAATGATAGAATTCCTCTTTTACTCGTTACAAACCTTTAACACTCAAGTGGAACAAGCATATGATCTGTTTCAAATTAAAGTTTCAATCAGAAAACGTATAAAATACAAATGTTGACCCAACCAAACGAAGTGAAGAGAAAGATGATCAGATTATTGCTCTGGAAGTTTGTCCTTCAAATATTTGAGAACCGCTTTGGTGCCTCTGTCCAAAATCGTCCTCTGGATGCTACAGAAAAGACAAAAGATGAAGATAATAAAAATTAGGACGGTTTATCATTCTGCTTGAGTTACCAGTAAATTCCTATATGTCATCTTTCCGAAGTTCACATATTAAAATTATTTCAACCATGTCAAATGTACATATTACTGGGTTTCATTTGATTTTACTAGGCCATATTTTCACTTCATTCGACTCTGGCTCACAGTCATTTTCAATTGGAAAGTTCCGGTATGCTTTGTATACGCTGCTATAGATGTCGGGGGAAAGTAAAAGTATACATAAAAGAGTAATTTACAACCCACGGAAAGTGAAAGTATCCATGAAAGAGTGATTTACAATCCAGGGAAATCAATTTATCTTTTCTACAAATCAAAATGCCAATCCTATTGAAAGTACGACATTAATTCTATCAAGTCGGTGATTGTGGCCATTAATTTGATTTTTCTTCAAGATGTTTTCCAATATGTTTTTGCTTCCTTGTGATCTTTCTAATGAAACTCATAAATTGATTATAAAATGCTAGTCTACACATCAAAAGTCCAATGAAATTTCACCCTGCACTAAAGATAAAATGTACGATCTCATTTTCATGAGAACTTTAACAAATTTAAAAAAAAATAAAAAACAACAACATGGTGATTAGTAGCATACCTTCTCAGTGGATTTCCATCAAGTCTCAAAGCCTGGAGGCTGGGTTCTAGTAAACCCTGGTGAAACAAAAGGAAAAAAGAAGAAAATCTTTAGCATATTTAATGAAATCGAATATGCACAACATATCATGTGATTTAGTAGATTATCCACCACAAAAGATTCTTAAAGATATATTGCACAATTTCTTAACAGATTAGAAGAAGCAGAAGGCAAAAAGTTAAAAGTTTGATTAATATAGTAGAAAATCTTTCAAGTAATCAGCTACTCATTAGGAGTCGAGTAAACTAAACCAACTGCCATACTACCAACTGTATCAAATCTTTTGACAAATGAGAATGAAGAGAATTTAGTTATCTCATCAAAAAAGAAAGCAGAGTTCAAACTGCAGGCCAAGGGGCTTTATAGGACCTAAAGCAGCTTTCATCATATTTCACTTTGCATGATGTGAAGATCAACTTCCCATTACTAATGCAGCAACATGTCTCCTATCCACGAGGTTTTAATGAGGGTTGTGAAAACAATAACCGTTGCATTGTCACAGATATGGCAGTTCCTGTTTTGCTAAATAGTTATCAGATGCCTTGTAATGTGAACACATTCCTTCACTCTTTTGGGTTAGTGCGGTGACATTGCCATTTTACATATTATCAACCAGCGTTTTTCTATAACCAATAAAATAAAATAAAAAGTGAGAAATTCCATATACTGACCAGCTCCGGGGGAAGTGCAGAAATGTTATTGTCAGACAGGTCAAGCTCAGTAAGTGAAGTAAGGTTTTTCAACCCCTGCATAAAAAAATTAACAAACGTTTTCAAGGATTCCAATGGCATTCAGTGCCCCAAAAAGAGATAAAATTGAAAAAGACTTCATTGGGGATAAGGATTATGAACTGAAGATATTTGCAAGAATAAACAGTCAACCAGGGTCTAAAAATACAGAATATTAGACTATACAGTCATAACACTCAATAAAATTACTAAAAATTGACTTGAGTGAAATGAAAGAATTCCTAAATCAATACTGAGGCATCAATTTCTAATGCTTTTAAGAAGCACAAAATTAAACAGTCGAAAGATCTTCGAACAGATAAGTAACGTTACCTCAGGAATTGATTGAAGTGAATTTTGACTCAAGTCAAGGATCCGCAACTGCTGTAAGCTCAGTATATCTGATGGAATTTCACGAAGCTGGACTCGTCTGTGAAGTCACTAGAGCATATAAATACCCTAAAAATTGGAGATGTATGGCACGTATGTCTATACAGGCCATATTTGCAGCTTACTGACCTCAGGTAAAGCTCCTGCAACAGCGGTAAGCTGGAAAATGCTGGATTCTCCGGCAATGAAGCTACATTATAACTCAGATCTAAGATCTGAAGCATAGGAACTACTTTAAATCCATCTGCTGGAACCTATAGATCAAGTAGCCACACCAAACCAAAATCAGTAGCAGAAAGATGCTTCCAATTACATGCATAAGAATCAGGAATAGATTTGAGTTCTGTCCTCAATTTGAAAAAAATAACCTGGTCGATGTGAACGTTGCCTAAACAGTGAATAAGATGAAGAAAGATAACTACAATACAACGATTGATTGCTCCAGTTCTAAATTTCTCGTTGAAAGAACGTTCTCATGAGAATTTGTAATTTACAAAGCCTATCAAGTTTGGCAGAACATTTAAACTTGCAAAGATAGAAACAGATCAAGCAACATGCCAGTATCATGTTTGACTGCATCACCTTGTTTTATTTGGTATAAGAAAGAATCATCAGTTAGATCTACTTTACCTGTCTCAGAGGATTATTGTCCATCTTCAGCCACGAAAGTTTAGAAAGTGACATCAAAATTGCAGCTGGCCAATCTTTAATCTTGTTCCGAGATAAAATCAAACTCTGCACATCCAGATAAATATCAATATAGATTAAGCTGTGGTTTCAGATCATCAGAAAGGTTTGTTACAGTACACAAACTCCTGCCCAACTCAACCCCCAGGCAATGGCTATCAGTTACTGATTATTAATGACTGAAGTACCAAATGCAGGTGTATATTGCAACAGATAAATAAACAAAGAATTATTTAGCTATATATGAACAAAAGAAAACAATATTTGGTAACAGAAAAGAATTAACCAACTGCTCACACCTATATTTATAAGAAATGGAGTCTGTTAAATATTAAAAAAGCCCTATAAATTTATCTAACGGGATGGTGAAGCAGATGCTTTTTTCTCCAGATACTGTAGACATCAAACAAAAAAAGCTTCCAAATTGCCTTTTTACCTTCCTACCATATTAAAAACTCAAAAAAATAATGTTTTGAAAAATTATTAAACCTTAGAAGTTAGACCCAGATCCTAACAGTATAGGACTGAAAAAAAAGGCTTAAATAAAGGAGTTTGACAAAATCCATGGCTTTCTGGTGTTAACTTACTAATTACTAGAAATTTAGGCTAAAACCAACAGAGATAGCAGTCACTGAAGCAGTATTCAGACTGAACTAAGGAAAGCAAACAGTGACTAGATAAAAAAAAAAAAAATCACCTGCAGGGAGACACACGAGGAAAGTTCAGGTGGCAGCTCTTGAATGGAATTCCGAGAAAGATCAAGTTTAATGATTTCACCTGATTCCCATACTTCTGATGGGACAGCACTCAAATTCATACCTTCCAAAGAAAGTTCCTGGATGTATAAAATTTGTAACCTCAATTTACAGATATAAAAATTAAATGCAACGTGAAGTTTGAGTTGTCAGCAAAGATAACAGTTATATAAAATAAGGAGGAAGAAGAATGTTGCGCATAATCAGCAAAACTCGACAATAGAACTTAAATGCAACTTTGGATGCCTCAATTTGCCATGTCTCACACTCAAAAAGTGAAATAAGCCATCACATCCAATTTAACACAGCTTCAAATACCATGAATAGCGTGCTATGGATGTCAACATCATTAATGATGCTGGCCAGTCAAATAAAAACAAAGAAAGAATGAATATTTCCTTTAGTGCCATGTAAGATTAGATTTAGGATCTACACCAACTACCAGGTCTATTTATACCACTGAACACCTAACCAAAGCCAAAGATTCTCTGGTATATGTGAATGGCAAGTGATGAATAATCTTTCCACAGAAAGGTCAAAGTTGGTTGACTCTGTTAATTTTACCCTGTTTAGTCATGAATAATGTTCTACTCAAACCCACAAAACAACTCAGATTTCGCTTACATCACGTGAAACAATACAACATTGAGCCTTAGGAAAGCTTAAGTTTTCTCAGAAAAGAAATCCAAGAAAAAAAAAATAATAACAAACAAAAGAAATTACAATGAGCAGTACCTTTGAGGTAATAGACAATCGAGTTGCCATGGCAAGCACATCTTCTTTAGCTGTACTGGCTTCAGAATCTGCAGGAGAAGCTTGGACTTATAATTCAAATGAAATAAATTGATTACTATAGGAAGACTAGATAGGATGAGATTTTTTGATAAAAACAAAGATACCTTCACTCTCCGAAAGTCTACTTCGAAGAAACTTCAGTAAAGCAGGTGTAGGTCCAGAAACCAATGAGCTGGTAAGTTCAGAGTTGTCAGTTGGGAAAATAGGTACTAACAGAAGCATCTAACATAACAAAAGACAAACAAAGGTTCACACCTTCTCAAAGTTCTCAAAGGATTGCCCACAAGCAACAGTTTCCGCAGACTAGTCATTTTACCTACACAATGGATAAATTACTCATTACATATTTATCATGGGAGACATAAAAAATTTGTCATCTATTTGTTAAGCTAATGAATAATAAGTTATACACATATATTATAAACATAGAGATTCCTATATTAACTTGCTAACCTTACCAAGCTCAGGAGGCAATCCAGTCAATGAATTATTAGAAAGATCCAGGACTGAAAGACGCAATCGGCATGCCTCCACTGGGTACTCCTTCAACTGCATGGATATGACTACTTAAAACTTCCTCAAACATGAAAAATTAGTATTGAGCAAGAAAGAATGAATGACAGGTTTGGGAACAGTAAGCTCTTCATGAGGTCAAGCATGTTCCTAAACTTGAAAAATCACAGGCATATAACAAAATCCAGAATTCTGTTTGATTTTTTATATGGGATCTTACTGAGCCAATCAAATCATGGTAAACCATTAGGGATCAAAAACCCATCGAACCCAGTTGACCTGTTGCACCAGCAAATTTAGACTAGATCGCAAAATTAACTTCTACCAACTGATTAATCTTTTATTTCACAGATTTTTCCTCATATTCCAAGAGAAAGATTAGAAAACCAGAAATCCCACAGTTGAGACATTAGTATTTACCATAGAAGCAGTCAAGTGTAACAGTCAAATATTAGTTTACAAGCATTTATTCTATTTAAATTTAAAGTTTGACTATCACAGTTAATAGTTATATGTTGCTACTCTAAATCTTGATACTACAACAATAAGTTTTAAATAAATTATTATTACTAGACTCTTTTACTTAGTTTTCTGATTCTTTATATTCTCTGTGTACATATTTTATTTTAGAAACAAAGACTTTTATGTATTCGACCTAATTATTATGCCTAACCGTTGGTTCATAAATTAAAACACTTAACCATTGACCAATCCCTTGGTTGGATCAGCACCCAGTTCCAGTCTCATGCAGTTAGGGTTGTCGGAAATACATTTCAGAAAAAAAAAAAAAAAGAAAAAAAAAAAAGAACTGGATACCTGGTTTGAATGAAGATCGAATGTCCCCAACTTCGAAAGCATCCCTATCTCCCCTGGTAATGTAGACAATGCATTATTCCTGAAAATTTGAGGTCCCATATGCGAAATGAATGTCAGAGGTGAATATTTTTAAGAGAATACTCTTATCCTCGAAAATCTAAACATGTCTTTGAAACGATGTTAGAACATAACCCCATATAGAATTCCATAAGGGCACTGCAGCCAGATATTGAAGTTGGGATTGAAGAAATTCCTGCATAACTCATACACGAAGAGTTATCAGGAGGGTTGAAGGAAATAAGTTGATCATACTCATATATGAATATTTAGCATACTAGTTCTTTCATTTACTCACTGTTCTGATGAAGATCAAGACGAATGAGCCTTGAAAGCCTCCCGATGGTTTCTGGAATACCAGCGCAAACAGTGACTAGATAAAAAAAAAAAAAAAAAAAATCACCTGGAGGGAGACACACGAGGAAAGTTCAGGTGGCAGCTCTTGAATGGAATTCCGAGAAAGATCAAGTTTAATGATTTCACCTGATTCCCATACTTCTGATGGGACAGCACTCAAATTCATCCCTTCCAAAGAAAGTTCCTGGATGTATAAAATTTGTAACCTCAATTTACAGATATAAAAATTAAATGCAACGTGAAGTTTGAGCTGTCAGCCAAGATAACAGTTATATAAAATAAGGAGGAAGAAGAATGTTGCACATAATCAGCAGAACTCGACAATAGAACTTAAATGCAACTTTGGATGCCTCAATTTGCCATGTCTCACACTCAAAAAGTGAAATAAGCCATCACATCCAATTTAACACAGCTTCAAATACCATGAATAGCGTGCTATGGATGTCAACATCATTAATGATGCTGGCCAGTCAAATAAAAACAAAGAAAGAATGAATATTTCCTTTAGTGCCATGTAAGATTAGATTTAGGATCTACACCAACTACCAGGTCTATTTATACCACTGAACACCTAACCAAAGCCAAAGATTCTCTGGTATATGTGAATGGCAAGTGATGAATAATCTTTCCACAGAAAGGTCAAAGTTGGTTGACTCTGTTAATTTTACCCTGTTTAGTCATGAATAATGTTCTACTCAAACCCACAAAACAACTCAGATTTCGCTTACATCACGTGAAACAATACAACATTGAGCCTTAGGAAAGCTTAAGTTTTCTCAGAAAAGAAATCCAAGAAAAAAAAAATAATAACAAACAAAAGAAATTACAATGAGCAGTACCTTTGAGGTAATAGACAATCGAGTTGCCATGGCAAGCACATCTTCTTTAGCTGTACTGGCTTCAGAATCTGCAGGAGAAGCTTGGACTTATAATTCAAATGAAATAAATTGATTACTATAGGAAGACTAGATAGGATGAGATTTTTTGATAAAAACAAAGATACCTTCACTCTCCGAAAGTCTACTTCGAAGAAACTTCAGTAAAGCAGGTGTAGGTCCAGAAACCAATGAGCTGGTAAGTTCAGAGTTGTCAGTTGGGAAAATAGGTACTAACAGAAGCATCTAACATAACAAAAGACAAACAAAGGTTCACACCTTCTCAAAGTTCTCAAAGGATTGCCCACAAGCAACAGTTTCCGCAGACTAGTCATTTTACCTACACAATGGATAAATTACTCATTACATATTTATCATGGGAGACATAAAAAATTTGTCATCTATTTGTTAAGCTAATGAATAATAAGTTATACACATATATTATAAACATAGAGATTCCTATATTAACTTGCTAACCTTACCAAGCTCAGGAGGCAATCCAGTCAATGAATTATTAGAAAGATCCAGGACTGAAAGACGCAATCGGCATGCCTCCACTGGGTACTCCTTCAACTGCATGGATATGACTACTTAAAACTTCCTCAAACATGAAAAATTAGTATTGAGCAAGAAAGAATGAATGACAGGTTTGGGAACAGTAAGCTCTTCATGAGGTCAAGCATGTTCCTAAACTTGAAAAATCACAGGCATATAACAAAATCCAGAATTCTGTTTGATTTTTTATATGGGATCTTACTGAGCCAATCAAATCATGGTAAACCATTAGGGATCAAAAACCCATCGAACCCAGTTGACCTGTTGCACCAGCAAATTTAGACTAGATCGCAAAATTAACTTCTACCAACTGATTAATCTTTTATTTCACAGATTTTTCCTCATATTCCAAGAGAAAGATTAGAAAACCAGAAATCCCACAGTTGAGACATTAGTATTTACCATAGAAGCAGTCAAGTGTAACAGTCAAATATTAGTTTACAAGCATTTATTCTATTTAAATTTAAAGTTTGACTATCACAGTTAATAGTTATATGTTGCTACTCTAAATCTTGATACTACAACAATAAGTTTTAAATAAATTATTATTACTAGACTCTTTTACTTAGTTTTCTGATTCTTTATATTCTCTGTGTACATATTTTATTTTAGAAACAAAGACTTTTATGTATTCGACCTAATTATTATGCCTAACCGTTGGTTCATAAATTAAAACACTTAACCATTGACCAATCCCTTGGTTGGATCAGCACCCAGTTCCAGTCTCATGCAGTTAGGGTTGTCGGAAATACATTTCAGAAAAAAAAAAAAAAAGAAAAAAAAAAAAGAACTGGATACCTGGTTTGAATGAAGATCGAATGTCCCCAACTTCGAAAGCATCCCTATCTCCCCTGGTAATGTAGACAATGCATTATTCCTGAAAATTTGAGGTCCCATATGCGAAATGAATGTCAGATGTGAATATTTTTAAGAGAATACTCTTATCCTCGAAAATCTAAACATGTCTTTGAAACGATGTTAGAACATAACCCCATATAGAATTCCATAAGGGCACTGCAGCCAGATATTGAAGTTGGGATTGAAGAAATTCCTGCATAACTCATACACGAAGAGTTATCAGGAGGGTTGAAGGAAATAAGTTGATCATACTCATATATGAATATTTAGCATACTAGTTCTTTCATTTACTCACTGTTCTGATGAAGATCAAGACGAATGAGCCTGGAAAGCCTCCCAATGGTTTCTGGAATACCAGTCAGCAAATTTTTTGCTGCACAGATAGCACCCATTTCAAAATTGCTTTTGGTGTAAAAATAGGAACTGAATATTATTGAACCATGTAACAAAATAGCAAAGTTGCAGATAATTACAAGCAATGAGTTCTGTAAGCATGGACCAGGATGCAATCACATTGTCAGGTAAAGTTGTTAGTTTGTTACCCTGACATCAGAAAGAACAAGCATTTCATAATCTTCTATCATAGATTACACATATGAGCCCCAAGTACATCAAACCATAATTAACTAGAAATGAGACAAAAAATAAGGGAGAGACAAAGGGAGAAGCTACAAATAGATCTTGCTAATACCTCTACATCCAGTTTTCTCAATTTTGTACAGTTCGCTAGATCTTCTGGCAAGCTGGTTATAAAATTGTTCGACGCCTGGGAAAAAATTAAACGCAGCACATCATCGTAAGCTATCCCTGTGACTCCTAAAAACGAGCATGATATATTTTTTGTCATTTCTAACTACATACCAAGATTTAACAATATCAAAAAAGTAATAGGACAGCCCATTAACAACCAGATAACCTCACACTCCTCACTCCATCATGATACACATTACCTTGAAATCAGATAAATCTAAACATCTTCCAAGTGAGCTTGGTAATTCTTTAAGCTGATTGCTCGAACAATCAAACCTAGAGATCACATAAAATTGAAACAATCAAACACTGAAGTTAAAAATCCAACTCTATGTTCATTAATTTGAGCTCCCAAAACAGATTAAAAGTATAAACAGATAAAAAGAACTTAAAAGTGCTATAAATTACTAAAATTAAAAACCATCACAACTTATAAGGAACACCACATCATTTTCAATGTCTAAGAAGTCCTTAAAATTGCCAACATTTAACAACTGTCTCTCCTTCTCTGGTCCATGATAAGGAACTGGTTTAGCATACGATTTGCAACATAACCAAAACATTAAATCTCTTGAAACCCAGACACATTACACAGATGTTTCTACTTATCTTCTAAGCTTACAGAACGGAATTTTCAATATACAATTTCATATCAAGAGTACCCATAGTAATACAAAAATAATATTTTAGTGCCATGCTAGACTTTCTTTCGATCATCTATACTGAAATAGATAACCCAATCGAAGAGAGGAAAAAAGGAAATTGCATACTTGACAAGTGAAGTTGCTGATCCAATCTCGTCAGGTATTTTGTGTATTGAGTTAAAGGAAACATCTAAGGATTTAAGCAAGTGAAGCCTGTTCAATATACAGAAAAGAAATCAAACATTATACATTCAACCAACATTTAAACCAGCAGAACATTTTCTATAAGTAAAACAGTTAAACAAGTTTCAAGAAAACTCACTCTCCTATTGCAGCCGGAAGTTCAGAAAGTTGGTTGTGGCTAACATTCAGCACAGTAAGTAGAGGCAAATTTCTCAGGTCCTCTTTCAATGCTTCAATACTATTATGAGCCAATATCAGCTTCTGTAAATCCACAGCCTACAAATAACCAATTCAACCATTACTCTCGTTTCTATACACATTAAATTTGCCCACAAAACTTCATCTAACAAGTGAACCGAAACTTGAAATCTTCATTTCACAGAGCAATATTAAAAATAATAATAATAATAATTAAAAAATATGAATAAATAACAAATACCTCCCACCACTTGTCACCCTCTCCAGCAGTATCCAAATTTTGATATACCTCATTCGGTACATCCCTGACAATTGAAACAAAAATTACAAATATATCACTAAAGGAATTGAGTAGATTATAAACATTAAAATTTCAATCACTACTAAAAAAATTCTACAATCTTAACAAGTCTAATGCTGCTTTAAAAACTACTAAAATGATTCAAAACATCAACTGCAGTTTTTTTTTTAATCTAAAATGGCGACATAATGAAGGGCCAAATTTCCATCACCATAACTCACTTCACTGCCCTGCATTCTTCATGTTAAACAAAATTTATGAATATTAGAGTGATGAATTAAGGGAAAGAAAATGAAGATTGAGAGTTGCCTGAGAGCGCGATTTGATAAGTTGAGAGAACCGGAGGTTCGAGCAGCTTTGAGTATCCGATCCATTCTCGGTTAGTTTAAGATTCTCCGACACGAAGACATTTGAACTGTATTAACTCAGTTTCAGATCTGCATGACAAGTAATCTAATTCAATGCACTCCCTTAGTTGTTTCAAAATTGTAATAATAGAAAACAGATGAGTGTCTTTTCACTCAATCTCTCTAAATAAATTTTTATTTCTTTTTAATAGATTTCTGAAATATTGTATAAAACCTCAAATTGTTTCTAATTAATTAAAAATAAACCGAGAAATTTTAGTTCACAAGATAATAAAAGCTGGTTTGATTGTGATTACACGGCTAAAAATTATCTTAAATTCATTAACGCTTTTGAAATCTGGTAAATTAGTTATATCTCAAAATGCTTTTTTCATAATTTTCTATTATAGACTATTTGTAAGAGTAAACGACATGTTTCATAAATGTCAAGTTCTCACCCTTTTATAAATTCCAATTCTTAACACTGTTATGACTGTTACAGATAAAGAGGTGCTATTACCAAATTACCCTCCCACTTGTATAAGATTCAAACTTCATCCCCTTCCGGAACACGCTGCTTTTCTCTACTCTCCCCGCCTCCCTTTTTTCTTTTTCTCCCCAAGAAAATTCTCTTTCTCAAAGAAAACAGAAAAGATTGAGACCGGACCTTTTCATCTCCCCTGAACTCTATCTTGCCAAATCGCGCAAGGTAACTAATGATACCAAATTGTTAAGGTAATTTTTAAAGAAACAAGCTCGTCTGTACATTATATGAAAAACCCTTTCACACCCTGGTTAGGCTCTGGTTTAATTGATTAACTGGTGTTATGCCTCAAAAGTCAAGCCTATGTCAGCACAATTAAGTCTCTTTGTAACCAGCTACCAAGCCCAATCTCCAAAGATATTCTCACCAACTTTATCTCATTTCAAAGAGATGAATGACGAGAGCTTCCATGTGTCAAGGCAGTTTGCAAAAGCTCTCATTGCATTGAGTGCAAATGTGAATAAATGGATTTTCTCTTCCCGAAGAAGGGAGGCTGGTGGCTGGGCTGAGATTGTAGCTGCAATTCTTTCTCTCTGTAAAAACACTGTATTTCTTCATCTTTGTATGCCTTACGGGCAAATTCATAGAAATAGGGAGAGATCAAATAAAATAACAGTGGATGTAGGAGTCGCTTGTTGCATCCGAACCACTATAAAAACCCCCTCTTGCCAATCTTTCATTTATATTTTCTGCAAAATATATAATCTCAGCTCCATATTCAAATCTCATGGATCCATCACGTGTGATTCTTAAGTCCGCTTAGCGCTTCTCACGTGCGAGTCGTTGGCGTCCAAAATCAAGCGTCAACAACTGTGAATCGAGTCAGGCATTAGAAATCCAGCTACAGCTTTAAAGGCTTTAGGAGCTTGATTTTAGGAAAGAAAGAACCCAAGCTTATGCTGAATCGAGATAGCAAGCTACCTTGGTCTTCTTTAAGTTCCAGAGATTCAGATCAAGGGCTTTAGCAGTTCTATGAGGCTAATTCAATTCAGTCTTTTGAAGCATTGAAATAACCTCTTCCCAACCTCTGCTTTTTATGGCTTGTTTGCTGCAAGTAGTTTTCTCTTTTTGTTAAAAATTCTGCTACAATTGAGAAAAGAATTTGCTTAGGTAAGAAGAAAGAATCAAAAGAAGGATTACACTCGGCCGGAGGCGATTTGACCGGAATCGCACCAGGTCGCATCTCCCTTCTTCTTTTTTGTCATCTCCCCCTCCTCTCGCCTTCATCTTCTTCATCTCCCATTCGGCCAAATCGCATCCGACCGGGTGAGATTCCGACCGATTTCCGCCGTCGGATGCGATTTGGCTGGAGTTCATTTATCCGTGCGCCAACCGAGAGAAAATCCCTTCTCCACCATCACCAAAAATAACCAACAGCAACATACAAATCAAGATAACCCAAATAAATCAAGATCATCACATTTGCCACTTACCCTCGCCATTAACCACCAGAGAAACCCAGCCACCGCCTTTCTCCATTTGAAACTCAATTTTGCCACCATTCCAATAACTGAAGAAAATAGTATAAACAAGCGCATTTGATAGAGAAGAGATAGGCATCAAGTTCTGAAGCAAAAAAAACTTTTTATTTCTTCACATAGGCAGATACAAAAGAAACTGTAGATATAGAGAATAAACAGAGAGTCACGAAGAAGAAAAAGTGTAGAGAGAGAGGGAGAAAACGATAGGAACAAAGAGGGAGAGAGAGCACGGTGGAGGAAACGAGAGTGCATGGAATCGGAATCTGGCATTTAGTAAATGAAAATATTAAAATATAATAAATGACAATTTTAGCTTTAACTATTGAAAGAAACGAAACTCTGTTAAATTTAAGGGTGAAAATTAAAATTTATGAAACCAGGGGTGGGAACTTGACATTTCACTAAACCTTGGTGTGAACCATCGTTTACTCTTTTTATAAAGAAATATTTATTTAAAATATCTTTTTAAGAGTTAAATTAAAATCTAACCTCCCTAAATTGGTTTAATAAATAAAACTTTTCACCTCATTTCTTTTTATTTTTACACTTTCCACTCTAACAATTAGAAAAAGTAATTTTAATATTCGAGTGTTAAGAGTCTAATCAACTTTAGAAGTCTAACACTAGAGTCGACTTTAGTGTTAGAGTAAAAGAAATTTATTTTTTTAATTAAAATAATTTTTATATACATTTATTATTCTTATATAAATATATTTTATTTCTTAATTTCTTTAATAAAATATAATTAATTTATTTATTGTTAGTTTAAAAAAATTATGAAATTTAATTTCTAATAATTATTTAGAGAATAAAATCGTTGTTATGCCTCAAAAGTCAACCTATGTCAGCCAATTAATGTCTCTTTGTACCAGCTACCAGCCCACATCTCCAAAATATTCTCACCAACTTTACTCATTTCAAAGAGATGAATGACGAGAGCCTTCCATGTGTCAGGCAGTTTGCAAAAGCTCTCATTGCATTGAGTGCAATATTGAATAAATGGATTTTCTCTTCCCGAGAAGGGAGGCTGGTGCTGGGCAACTCTATCTTGCCAAATCGCGCAAGGCAACTAATGAAACCAAATTGTTAAGGTAATTTTTAAAGAAACAAGCTCGTTTGTCACATATATATGAAAAATTCTTTCACACCCTGGTTAGGCTCTGGTTTAATGTGATTAACTGTGAATCGAGTCAGGCATTAGAAATCCAGCTACGGGCTTTAAAGGCTTTAGTAGCTTGATTTTAGGAAAGAAAGAACCCAAGCTTATGCTGAATCGAGATAGCGAGCTACCTTGGTCTTCTTTAAGTTCCAGAGATTTAGATGAATGGCTTTAGCAGTTCTATGAGGCTAATTCAATTCAGTCTTTTGAAGCTGTGAAATAACCTCTTCCCAACCTCTGCTTCTTATAGCTTGTGTGCTGCAAGTAGTTTTCTCTTTTTGTTAAAAATTCTGCTACAATAGAGAAAAGAATTTGCTCAGGTAAGAAGAAAGAATCAAAAGAGGAATCACACTCGGCCGGATGCGATTTGGCCGCAATCGTACCCGGTCGCATCTCCCTTCTTCTTTTTTGTCATCTCCCCCTCCTCCTCTCGTCTTCATCTTCTTCATCTCCCATCCAGCCAAATCGCATCTGACCGGGTGAGATTCCGAGCAATTTCAGCCGTCGGATGCGATTTGGCCGGAATTCATTTATCCGTGCGCAAACCGAGAGAAAATCCCTACTCCACCATCACAAAAAATAACCAACAACAACATACAAATCAAGATAACCCAAATAAATCAAGATCATCACATTTGCCACTTACCGTCGCCATTAACCACCACAGAAAACCAGCCACCGCCTTTCTCCATTTAAAACTCAATTTTGTCACCATTCCAATAACTGAAGAAAATAGTATAAACAAGCGCATTTGATAAAGAAGAGATAGGCATCAAGTTCTAAAGCAAAAAAACTTTTTTTCCTTCACATAGGCAGATACAAAAGAAACTGTAGATATTGAGAATAAACAGAGAGTGACAAAGAAGAAAGAGTGTAGAGAGAGGGAGAAAACGACAGGAACAAAGGGAGAGAGAGCATGGTGGAGGAAAAGAGAGTGCACAGAATCAGAATCTGGAATTTAGTAAATGAAAATATTAAAATATAATAAATGACTATTTTAGCCTTTAACTGATAAAAGGAACGAAAATCTGTTAATTTAAGGGTGGGGATTTAGAATTTATGAAACCAGGTGAGAACTTGGTATTTCGCTAAACGTTAGGTGAAAAATGTACTTTACTCTTTTTATAAAGAAATATTTATTTAAGATATCTTTTTAAGAGTTAAATTAAAATCTAACCTCCTTAAATTGGTTTAATAAATAACACTTTTCATCTCATTTCTTTTTATTTTTACACTGTCCACCCTAACAATTAGAAAAAGTAATTTTGGGTGCGTTTGGTTCATTATTTTGGATAGGATTTTGGGGATAGTTGGATAGGGGAGTATTACGAGGTAAAATTTTAAAATTTATGAAAAAACCCCCAAGGTTTGTTAAATTAATAAACACCCCAATATATTAAAATATTGTAAAATGACAAAAACACTCCTACCACCCGCAGTGCCAGATTCTGGTCACTACCGTCAGAATCTGACAGAAAATTGGATAACCACACATACCCGATCGGATTTGGTGGGTATTCAATCGATATGACCTTTTCCGGCCATATCCATGGACTTTTTCGGCCATATCCACCATGGATATGGCCGGAAAAGGCCAGATCTAAGGTTGAATGTGGCCGTCGACGGCCGAGAAATTCCATTTTGGCCGTCAGTGATGGCCAAAGATATGGTCGTCGTTGTCTGTCAACGATGGCCAGATCCACTGTAGATCTGGCCATTACCGGCTATTTCCAGTGGTGGTGTGACTATTGTGAGAGAGTTCGGCTACCACCAGCGGTGGTTGCCGGAATCTGGCAAGTATTGGTGGACGGGGGTTTTTTTGTTAATTTTTAAACTTTTTTGGGGTATTTATGAAATTAATAAACTTATGAGATCTAAAAGTAATTAAAAAATAGACTAATATTTCTGGAATAATGTGCTAAATAATATTTGAAGAATAAGATTGAGAATACGGGTATATATACGAGTCGGTAGAGTCTAATCAACTTTAGAAGCCTAGCACTAGTCCGACTTTAGTGTTAGAGTAAAAGAATTTTTTTTAATTAAAATAATTTTTATATACATTTATTATTCTTATATAAATATATTTTATTTCTTAATTTCTTTAATAAAATATAATTAATTTATTTATTGTTAGTTTAAAAAAATTATGAAATTTAATTTCTAATACTTATTTAGAGAATAAAATCACTTTAAGGATAGAGTTGTTAACGGAAAAAACAGAGAAAAAGTTGGATGAAATATCTTATTTATTAAACTAATTTAAAAAAAAAATCATATTTTAATTTGTCAAAAACACAAAAAAAAAAAAAAAACCTTTTAAATAGTTTTTTATTTTATAAATCTTATACATTAAAGCTTATTTCGTAATTTAACTAAAAAAATTCGTAAAATTTTCGGCTACGTTCTTCAATTTCGGGTTGTAAGCTCAACCCGATAAACTGAAGAAAAATAGAGAAGCCCAATTCGAAGTCCAAAAGTAGAAATTGGGCCAACGTTCAACAGACCCAAATCCGATCCAGCCGCATACAAATATCATTCACCGAACACCGTCTTCTCCCTCTTCAAAAACCCTAATTTTGTAGGGTGGGGTAAAGTACGCAGAGATGGTGAAGACGAAAGAGAAGAAAGTCAATGTGTCGGGTAAGCCGAAGCACTCGCTCGATGCGAACCGGACGGATGGGAAAACGGGCAGCCGTAGCGCCTCTACGGTTCGCCGCCTCAAGATGTACAATACGAGGCCAAAACGCGACCGTAAAGGAAAAGTTTTGAAGCATGAGTTACAGTCTAAGGAGTTGCCCAACACTCGCATACAACCTGACCGCCGTTGGTTTGGTAAGTCCAGTTACTATGCACTATTTTGTCAGTTATTTATAATTTATGTAAAAAGTGTTTTTTTTTTAGAAACGCTTTTCGGTTTATAAGCTTTCTGAAAAAAGCACTAATGTAGTGTAGTGTTCATGCTGAAGGAACTTCCAAGTTGATGCATAGCAGCTAAACAGTATAAAATGAATATGTGAAAACGCTTTTAGTGGTTTCAAAAGCACTTTGAAATGCTAATTTCATTGCTAGCTAGTATAGATGCTTCTGATTTATAGTATGTCAAAATGCTGATTGCGGACGGTTCTTTTATCCAATTTTGCCTTTTTTTCTTTTAGGGAATACACGTGTTGTAAATCAGAAAGAGCTTGAATTCTTTCGCGAGGAGCTCCAAAGCCGAATGTCAAGTAGCTATAATGTCATTTTGAGGGAGAAAAAGTTGCCATTTTCTCTCCTGAACGATCACCAGAAGGTACGAATCTGTTACTCTAGGAGTTCCTAAAATATCATTTTAGTCCTTCTGGTATCTTGTTTTCAATATCTTAACCCATTGTTCATTCAAGGTTGAGATGTATAGATGTGTTAGGAGATGGAACCCCATGACTTATAAGTTTATGAAGCTGTGCAAGATGCATTTGTCTAGTCTAAATATGGTTAATAAACATTTTCCCAATTTTGACGGTTCATGAGTTAAGAGTTCTCGGTAATATATGGGAAGCTAGTATGATTAAGTTGGCAGTCAGGAGATATCTAATGTTAATATTCTAATGTGTTATTTTCTCAAATGGATGTTGATATAGAGCACAGTTTGAGTTTGAAAGTTTCTTATTGTCATTTGCTTATTTGTTTTTCTTTCCTTCTTGATTGATGTGTACAGCAAGCCAGAGTTCACCTTCTTGATACTGAGCCTTTTAAAGATGCATTTGGACCAAAAGGAAAGAGAAAGCGTCCAAAGCTATTGGCAACAGATTATGACTCTTTAGTTAAGAGAGCTGATGGTTCTCAAGGTAAATCATTGTTGCTATTATCACTGTGTTGTTTCTTTTCATTTTCTTGATCTCAAAGCTTAAATTATTTTGCAATTCATGAATTTGGTTTTTTTAACTCTGTAGATGCCTTTGAGCAGAAGTATGGTGCTAGTACATCTGCAGAAGGAAATGAGGGAGATGGATTTAGGGATCTGGTTCGGCATACAATGTTTGAGAAGGGTCAAAGTAAGCGTATATGGGGTGAACTGTACAAAGTAATAGATTCATCAGATGTTGTTGTTCAGGTGATGTTTCTTCTGCTTCTTTTTTTTATAATTAATTTAAAAAAGAGAAAGCAAGTGAATTATTTGTGCATGTTACATGAGTTCATTAACTTGCAATTTGTTAGGACATGATATTAAACTTTGGAGGTCCTTTTGGTTTTTTTCTGTGAACTCATGATACGCAATAGTTGTAATTGTATCTTGTAGAAGATATTGCTACCAATAGGTGAGAACATTTGTTTGCCCATTTAAACAATTTTACTTGTTCTAGATAATCAAAATAATTAGATATTTCTCAAGCTGATCCATGAGATGATGAGGGGATGAGCAACCAGAATTTTTCTGCTGTAGCTACAAGAGATCATAAATAAATATGAAACCTGTTTTCCATCTATTTTTATCTTTTCTGTTGCAGGTTTTGGATGCCAGAGATCCTCAAGGTACTAGATGTTATCATTTAGAGAGGCATTTGAAGGAGCATTGCAAGCATAAACACATGATTCTTCTGTTAAACAAGGTCAGTTACAAATTTCATATTCATTTGAGATTCTCAGTATTTCCCTTTTTTCCCTTGAGTTTTTGTTAAAATCTCTCTTTTGACAGTGTGATCTTATTCCTGCTTGGGCTACGAAAGGATGGCTTAGAGTATTATCCAAGGAATATCCGAGTTTAGCCTTTCATGCTAGCATCAATAAGTCTTTTGGCAAGGTAAATTGAATGTATTCATTTAATTTTGATGTATACTAGTCATACTACTACTATTATATGGGAATCTCCCATGTCCTTCCACTTCTTGGAATACTGTGATTCCCATCATTCCAAGCATCTGTGTAGTGATTAAATTGAACTTGCTTTCAATTCTATATCCCATTGAGAATTGAATGCAGGGTGAAGACTTTGCACAAAAAGCTTGCTTCTTGCACAATGTTACTCTTTATGGTGTTGCTTCATCTTTTGTTTCTGATCTTGAAGTTGCTTTCCTAATTTTTAACCTCTGTTTGTTCAGGGTTCTCTGCTATCAGTCTTGAGACAATTTGCCCGCTTAAAGAGTGACAAGCAGGCTATATCTGTTGGTTTTGTTGGGTATCCCAATGTTGGAAAGTCGTCAGTTATCAACACACTGCGTACAAAGAATGTAACAGTCCTCTTCTCTTCTAAAGCTTCTGATGTATTAGTCTTTGTAGTGGTGGGAATTGCTTTATATTCTGTCCAATGGTGATTTGGTGTGTGATGGTAATCCGGTTCAATTATTGATAAATTTGTTTCTTTAATTCTCTTTTTACAAGGTATGCAAGGTTGCTCCTATTCCGGGGGAGACTAAGGTGTGGCAGTATATAACACTCACAAAAAGGATCTTCTTGATTGACTGTCCTGGAGTTGTTTATCAGAGTAAAGACACTGAAACAGATATTGTACTAAAGGGAGTGGTAAGTTTCCTTGTATTTGTTTAATCCAATCAAATTAAAAATGTAGTATCCCTTGTTTCTTTGTTTGTTTTGTTGAAGTGTTTTGTGCTGTATAAGTTATGCGTATTTAATTTTGGACGATTTTTGCCCTTTCAAGGTCCGTGTAACAAATTTGGAGGATGCTGCTGAACACATAGGAGAAGTCTTAAAACGTGTCAAGAAGGAGCACCTCAAGAGAGCATATAAGATAGCAGACTGGTAAGCTTCGTTTTTGTCTATAATTGGAGTTATTAGTATTTGTGTTTCATTCTTCATGAAATTTCCAGAGCATTAAGGCTTTTCCTTGCGTTTTCTTCTATGCATTAGATGTACACTTTTTGTTGAAACTTGATTGGGAAAATAATAAAACTAAACCTTGCCATAATATGTGAGAAAACTGGCCTAGTCCATTTCTTACTATGTTTTCTCTGTGATATTTTGATAATTGTAAGTTTTTAAATGGTCTTGGTTTGTGTGAACCATAATTATGACTTTTAGCAAACAATGCAGAGTCCCAAATTTTCATTTTACCGTAATATGATAACTATTTTCAGTTGATTTAATCTTTTGAAGAGTTGCAATATAGAAAACTAACCTTTGTTTATTTCTTTTGTCAGGAAAGACGAAAACGATTTTCTACTTCAGCTCTGCAAATCAACTGGTAAGCTTTTGAAGGTATGTTTCCCCATCTTTATTCTAGATATTGATTTCAGAATTTATGATTATACCATCTGAAAGTTTTGGTAAAACCCTCGATTAGGATTGCATCTAGGGAGTCTCCTCTTTATCAATTTTTCTTTTTCAAAAACTTAAAGCTGTATTCATCCATGGTGGTTTTATGCATGTCATTCAAAAATATCTTGTCACAAAAATATAACTAGGAGATTATGGATTAAGTAAAACCATCAGCATTTTCACTGGCTTGAGTTCATATTTGATATGGGTGTCCAGGGTGGTGAACCTGATGTAATGACAGCGGCAAAGATGATCCTTCATGACTGGCAGAGAGGTAAGATTCCTTTCTTTGTTCCGCCTCCACGACAAGATGAATCCACGGATGAACCCAATGTGTATGGGATAACTGAGGAGGCAGTTGCAGATAGTAATCAAGCATCTGCGGCTCTCAAAGTCATCAATTCTGTGATGTTGTCCCAGCAGGAAAAAAGTGTTCCTGTTCAGAAGGATCTCTTCAGTGAGGATGAATTGAATGTTGAACTTGAGACAGCAAATCATCCTCAAGCTAGCGATGATGACACTGATGATCATCCTGCAGCCTCTAACGATGAAGATCAGCTTTCATCTTCTGACACTGAAATAGATGAAGATCAGCCTTAAACAAGTGACTCCTAGATTGCTGTCCTAGCAAACAGATGAAAAAGCCTGAGAAAACCGGGTTATTTTTATATGAAAAAGAAAATGGAAAATTCAGTTTTGTAATCTTTTCTTTTTTAATATTTAATTTTAAATTAAGTGAAATTGCTAGTATTCCAAGTGAGTTGTTAGTTTATAGGCGTTCTCATCAAGCCCAAAGCTAAATTAGAGAGACTTGTGTCTTCGTTTCCTTTCGTGAGTTTGGTTGAGCCATTGGGTTCTAGCAAAAAGTGTAGACAAATTTGAGTATTTATAAAGTAATTCCATAAAACCCTTTTCATGATGGATTTTTGGTAGCAATAATATTTTGTTTATGACTGGGTTATACAAACGATAAAAAATTTGCATAAAATTTATGTAAAATGATTATTCTGTTTTGTGTTTTTTTTATAGTTTGTATAATTTAGCTGTATGATTCAGTTATAAGCATAATATTATTTTTTAGAGGAGATTATTGTTGTAAATTCATCGTAAAGGCCTTTTCATGATGGTTTTACGATAACAAACTACCGTCTTGTAAGTGTATGATGACATTCAATATCTGCCGTTCCATTAATATATAAATGACATTCATTATCATACCTCTGAAGCATGCTCTAAAAAGGAAAAACCATCCATGTGAGAGAACTGGAGCTATTACATCCTACAAACAGCAACCCTCAAAAGTCTTTTCAAAGAGCTGCAAATAGTGGGTGGCGCGGAGATTGAAATCAATGGTTTAGGTAAGCTGAGTCAGTCACAGCTGGGTTCTGCTAATTTACATGCAAATTAAAGCTGGTGGCGATAATGTCGTTGTAGCTGAACAGAAGAAACAGCCTGATCCTGGGGACCTGTAGATACAAAAAGAGGGTCACAGTTATATGTGCTAAGTTTTGCATGGGCGGCAGCTACTGTGTTCTTGTCAATTGTCACCATCTTCAATTTAGCTTTTTAGACAAAATTTCACTTGGTCAATCGACACTGCATACAAGTGCACATTGTAGNAGCATTTATAAAGTAATTCCATAAAACCCTTTTCATGACGGATTAACGGTAATAATAATGTTTTGTTTATGATTGAGTCATTGTACAAAATTTATGGAAAATTATTATTTTGTTTTTGGTTTTTTGTTTATTTGTATGATTTAATTGTATGGAAACATAACGGGTGCGTTTGGTTTATTATTTTGGGTAGGATTTTGGGGATGGTATTGGATAATTGGATAAGGGAGTATTATGCGATAAAATTTAAAAATTTATGAAAAAGCCTCCAAGGTTTGCTAATTTAATAAATACCTTAATATATTAAAATATTGTAAAATGACAAAAACATCGTTACCACCTATAGTGTCAGATTCCGGTCACCACCGTCGGAATCTGACCGGAAAATAGAAATGGCCACACATACCTGTCGGATCTAGACTGTATTCGATCAGTATGGCCTTTTCTGGCCTTATCCACCACGGACCTGGTCGGAAAAGGCCAGATCTAAGGGAGGATGTGGCCTTCGAAGGCCGAAAAAGGCCATCTTTGGCCGAAAGCGACGGCCAAAGATATGGCCGTCGTTGTCTGTCAACGATGGCCAAGAACGGATCTGGCTAGAAAATGCCAGATCTGGCCATCATCGGCAATTTTTGGTGGTGTTGTGACTGTTTTGATAGATTCCGGCTATCACCGACGGTGGTTGTCAGAATCTGGCAAGTATTGGCAGATGAGGGTGTTTTTGTTAGTTTTTAAACTTTTTTTCTAGGGGGTATTTAATGAAATTAATAAACTTATAAGGTCTAAAAATAATTTAAAAAAATAGACTAATATTTTGATAATAACGTACCAAACAATATTTGAAGAATAGGATCCAGAATATGGATAAAAACAATAAGTTAAACGCACCAATATTATTTGTATGGTAGATTATTTTAAAAGCCTTCTCATGACGGGTGTACGGTAACAAACTACCGTCTTGTAAGTGTACGATGATATTCAATATCTGCCGTTCCATTAATGTATAAATGACATTCATTATCGTACCTCTGAAGCATGCTCTAAAAAGGAAAAGCTATCCATGTGAGAGAACTGGAGCTGTTACATCCTACAAACAGCAACCCTCAAAAGTCTTTTCAAAGAGCTGCAAATAATGGGTGGCACGGAGGTTCAAATCAATGGTTAGGTAAGTTGAGTCAGTCACAGCTGGGTTCTGCTAAGTTACATGCAAATTAAAGCTGGTGGCGATAAATGTCGTTGTAGCTGAACAGAAGAAGCAGCCTGATCCTGGGGACCTGTAGATACAAAAAGAGGGTCACAGTTATATGTGCTAAGTTTTGCATGGGCGGCAGCTACTGTGTTCTTGTCAATTGTCACCATCTTCAATTTAGCTTTTTAGACAAAATTTCACTTGGTCAATCGACACTGCATACAAGTGCACATTGTAGAGTCATTTCAGATCGATAATTAGAAACTTGTTTAGATTCCCTCTGTTGAAGAAATGGAAATCCAACTACCATTTCCGCAGTGGATTGAATAATATTGATAGGGAAAGTTTTAGGACCCTTTAATGAAGACCATCCAGATATATAGTAAATCATAAAATGATTCAATTTAAGTAAAAAGTACAAATGCTCATGGGTCTCCTTCGTTGAAGCAAACAAAGATTTAATGGCCATAATCCTCCGCGAGGTTTGATTGAATAACATAAATATCCCTAATGTTTTTAAAAAGAACATAAATAAATGATAAGAGGGTAATTTAGTAAATATTTATTAACTCGTAATAATATATTTTATAATAATTTAGTGAAAGTTTACAAACAATAGAGATTTTTGTTATTATATCTGTTGATGCTTGATTTTGATACCAACTAAACGCACGTGTGAAATGTTGAATTAACTCAGAAGACACACGCGAATGAGGGTATGAGAATGGATAAGAAATGGAGAATAATATTTAAAGTGGTTCGGATGCTTAAACAAGCGACTCCTACGTCCATTGATATTGTATTAATATACTGAGGTTAGGTCGCGTTCAGTGAGCTGATCTAAAAGTGATTACAAAGAGAAAATGAGTATGCTATTCTAAAGAGAATTTAGCTAATCCCATAAATGGGAGATGAGTCATTTATTTATAGTGGGATGAATTGAGGTAATGATTAATAAATCATGGAGTGGGTCAGATTGCCGTCCACATCCTTTCTTGTGCCCCGTTATTCACCTATTCGAGTGATTTGCTGGAGTCTTGCAGGGATTGGACACGTGTATCACCTCCAGCCTTTCACCAGCCTGACGCACACCTACTGCACTGGCAGGAGCACGCCTCTTGCGTCAGCGCACGACGTGGCTGCATCTGAACGGCTGCTGGACTTACCTAAGCTCTGACTACTTACGCTAACAGGGCTTTGGTCAGCCCTACTTTTTCAAGCATAACAATATCAAATTTCAATAAGTTTATAGTTTTTAACTTTATAATAAATCATAACATATTTCTATCTAATCATATTTATTAATTATCAATTAAGCGTATTATATAAAACAAAATTATATGTTGTGATCTCATAGATTTTTTTAACTAATCCCTGGCTCTCTGTGGTCCATTGAATATCCTATAAGTCTAATGGGTCAAATAAGTTACAAATGTGCTAGGCTTAGACGAATACTTTGTAGGACTCGAACACAAGATCTCTGGATAACCTATCTAGATGGTTAAAATATTGTCATCCGACCATAAGGCTAGTGATTTGATTATAGAAATCTTATTGAACAAAAATTGTGATATTCTTCCTTCATTGATAATAGTTTTGGCTCCGTTTGGTTCAAAATTTAGGGGTTTTGGGAAAAGTTTTTTGAAAAAAGTTAAAAAAAAAATTGAATTGGGCGGGTATTACGATGTAGAATTTATAAAATAATAAAATACCCTTTATGTTTGTTTTTTTACAAAATACCCCCTATAATAAAACATTAAAAGTTAACAAAAATACCCCTAACCCACCCTCAAACACCCCCAGCCGGCGACCACCACCGGAGGTGGCCGGAGTCGCCTTATGGGCGCATGACCGGTTGGATCTTGCCGGTCATGCACCGATATGGCCTTTTCCGGCCAGATCCACCGTGGATCTGGCCGGAAAAGGCTAGATCGGCGCACTACCGCCAGATTCAACCGGTAGTGCGCCATCCTACCAGATTCCGGCCATTTTTCGGTAGTGGTGGCCGGAATCTGGTAAATGTGGATTGTTGGGGTGTTTTTATAATTTTAAAAAAAATATTTAGGGGTATTTAATTAAATTAACAAATTTAGAGGGTTTAAAAAAAAATTAAATAATATTGAAAATAGTATTCCCAAAAATGAGAGATTTTGGGTATTTTACTGTTTAACTTTTTTGGGAATACCAAGAGTAGTATTCCCAATCTTGAACCAAACGGAGCCTTTGCTTTTTTGAAGAGTATTATGATAGTCTAAAAAAAAGGGTTTCAGATTAATTAATGTTTAATGAAGGGAATTAAGAGTAATGTTACATTTCTTAAATAAAGAAAGGCCAAATTAAAATATGCACAAGCGGCTAGGTAATCGTTCACTGAGTTGCATTGCATGTGGAATACATTGTATCATGTGTTGTGGTTGTTAAGAACAATAATATGCAACTAATATATTATTAATTATGAGTAAATGACTTTTTCCCACCCAAGGTTTCCCTTAATGACACTTTTTCATCCAAAAAGTTTTAAAATACCACTTTTTCACCCAAAGTTAATATTCTGTTACTATCTAAAACCGATTCTAACGACGAAAATTCTCTCCATCACCACCATTTGAAACTTTGGTCTCCTCTCTATAAAACCCCTCTCACTCCGGTACTTAATTTCTCACTGATTTCTAACCATCACAAAGCTAAGATTTTCTATTCTTAGCTAATTTTCGGTTGATTCCACGGCGAATATTCAATTAGTGATCACCATTTAATCCACTAGCATTTACTTTACAAACCCGTCTAACCTTGGCTCATAGTAACTCGTCAAACGTCAACTGAAAAAATAAAATTTATTTTCGGTATTAACAAAATATAAACTTTGGATGAAAATAAATTGGTATTTAGAAACTTTTTGGGTTAAAAAACATCATTCTGGCTCGTTTACTTTATTAATTATATAGGGCGGAACCCATTTTGCTTTTTTTTTATTTTTTATTTTTTATTTTTTTTTATGTTTATGTTTAATTAATTAATTTGGTTTTGATGGGTGGAAGTGGGTTCAATTCAAGGCGCCAATCTCTCCTTTATATGCGTATAGAAACTAGAAACAAGACATAATAATTAAATTGGTATTGATTTCACTTTGAATTTTTTTCCGCAAATTAATGAGCTTTCCAATTTTCAATGTCTCATTTATACCACCAAATTAGGAAGCCATCAACTTCATCAAACCCACCTTTAATTAAGAGATTAAAACATATAATTAATTACTTAAAACTTTTTAGTAACTTGTAAATTAGTTAACCCACTTGAATTAATCATCATTTATCAACTAATTACTCTTTAATGATGTCATTTTGCTTGTGCTTTACTTTTAAGTTTTTTCTTATAACAGGGCGGTTGGTTAATTTTTTTCCTTTTGGTGATCAGGGTGTTCGAGTCAATTTGTGCACGTCTTAATTATATCTTATGACCCTTTGAACACCATACAAACCTAAAGGGTCAAGTGAGTCACAATGTGATAGGTGATCTCACTATTCGAACCCAAAAAGTTAATTAAAGCAGTAAACCTTCTTTTGACTACTAGGCTAACCCCTTGGTTGTGGTTGGTATTTTCTCATTAAATTAAAATGAAAATTAATTTGATTATGTGGGTCTAAACCAAACTTTATAATACCAACATTAATTCAATAGGTAGAAAATTAATAAATGAAAATATGAATTTGATATTCTTGCATTGAATAAACCACTTAGTCAACACCATGTGTTCGCAATACTATTAAAACAATACCCACTTATAAATTACAATAAATACGTTTAAAGTTAATATCAATCTATTTTTTCTTCTTTTACTTAAAATTATGATACTAATAAATAATCATGTATTAAATATAATTCATTGGTTTATAAGCTAACTAATTGACATAAAAATATATTAGTAAATAATCACTAGATGTCTTGATAGTAAAAGAGTAAAATAAAATTTTACGAACTCATGAGTTTGAATCCTCTTATACACTAATAAGGGTGATCCTTACAATTCTTATCCAATCAATAGTGATTAGGTTTCAGAGATTTAATTGAGGTATAAAAAAGTTATTCTTAAAAAAAAAAAAAAAAAAAAAAAAAAAAGTAACAAAATAAAATTAAAGAAAGAATGATTCACACACTTTTAAAAGTAGAAGAGATATATTAAACAACTAAGTATCGCTAATTGCATGGCACGTGGAATGATTAGTGATGGTTATTTATTTTTGATTATGATTAACAATAATTTTGGCGTGGAATCCCAATTTTGCTTTTTTGATTAAAAGTGATGTTTAAAGAGGTTTCTTTAATTAATTAGCATATGATTTGACCAACTTGAATGTGACTTGTAGTATTTTAATACGTTAATTTCTCCTTAAAGTACGTCTAGAAAATTATATTCTATAGTCCATACTGCATTTAAATTATTAATACTCACTTTTATTGTCAAATTATTAATTTATTATAAAGTCCAAAAGAATTAATTCAATTCATACCCATCCATTCACACATTTGTTTATCCTTGACGTCCCATGCTATGGGTTAAATTAAATTTGCTTTAATTAAAATCTAATTTTTTTAATATACATACTTTTTCTTTTATCTTTTTTTTTTTTTTTATATTTTGTTTCAATATTATCCTAACCTAATAGGACAAAATATATACATGTTAAGTGGACTTTGACTTTTTAAGGATTAATCTTACCAGCATATCACATGTTACATTTTGCAAGCTCCTCTTGTGACACCGTTTTTATTTTTTTATTTTTAATAATTAAAATCTTTTTATACACTGATTGCGGCCTCTGCATGCGATGCCGCTTACGTCATACATGTAATAATTTTAATATATAATTTGTTAACTTAAAAAAATATTTAGGACTTCGTATACCTAATAATTATTCACAATTTTTAATTATAAATATTTGTATACATTATGAATTAGGATTTTATTATTTTCTTATAAATATACAATAGGAATTAAAGTTTTATTTTATAATTTAATTGAGGTATGTATAAATTGAACAAAAAAGAAAAACCTCCAGCATCATTATAAAAAAATATTAAAGTTGATTTTATTAGTAATAATATTTAATTGTTGAATATTTTTGTTTGAATCTAGTGAGATTCTAGTGCGTCGGGTCACTGCATGTTCCTAGTTACGCATAAAAAGCGGTGATTTTTTATTCTAAATATTAATTTATACTTAGATACCCGCTATAAAACGACGTCGTTATACATCGTCCCTGTCAATTGCGTTTTTATTATTCAGGACTTTCTCGTGTACGTTGTAAACAGCTAAAAACAGCCAACTGGAGTAGGAAGAGATCTCTGTAACTCTGACTTACCACAAAAATTATTATTTAAAAAAAAAAGAACTCTGAGATTCTTCCAGTGAAGGTTCATTGCGCTTTTTACTCTTTTTCTTTTTTGAATTAAATAATACGTAAATTCAGAGAAAAACTCTGCGGTATTGCTTTTTAGAAACATTTTCTTTACAGCAAAGTCTACACTTCTCTAACCTCACACATGTTCTTCAAACAACTGTGCTCAGTTTTGAACCTAGAATCTTTCACCTTGGAATCTCATTTCTGTCTTGTTCCAAGTTCCAAGACCAATCTGATGTGAATGTAGCAGGTTCAAGCTCACATGAGATTGAGTTCATGTCCAAGAACTGCAAAAAGAGCTGTCTTGAAGGAAGAAGCAGATGGCTGTTTAATTTTGTGAAGACTGGAAGATAAAGAGTTAATAGTGGTAGTTAATAGTACACAGATCGAAGTTAATTTCAGAGACACAAAGTGACGTCGTTTTTGCGCGTTTTCTCTTGCTGTAAACGCGTTTCAAGTTTCTTTCGGTGCTCAAGCTCACATTTTTTGTTGTAAGAAAGCTATTTTTTTGGAGGGTGTAGGGGAAAATAGTGTTTTTTGGCTGTGAGATTTGAGGAAAATATAGCGGTTTTTTAGTAGGATTTGTTTAGAATGGAAGTGGATAATAACAAGGAATTGCGTTCATTGGCTTTAACGCCAACATGGTCTGTTGCTACTGTGTTGACCATCTTTGTGGTTGTTTCTTTGCTTGTGGAGCGCTCAATCCACCGCCTAAGCAATGTAAGTAGTTTTATTTATATCACTTAAGCATGTGTTTATGGTTAAGTTTGTTATTTTGTTCTTATATTTTTCATTGTGAAGAATTTAAATTGGGTTTGCTTTGTTTTGTTGACTTCTCTGTGGAGCTGGAGGGTCTTTGTTGAATCTAAATATACCAATTTTTAGGGCTTTACTTTGTTGCTAATATTAGGTTGAAGTGTTAAATCTTGTTTTATATCTTTTGTTTTCTCTGTGTCATAATTCTCCATTTTAGAAATTGAACTTTTGTGGTATCCTTCACTGTTTATAGGCTAGAAGAGTGTTTTGTCAAAATAGATTCAGAGTCGCTATAAATTTCTTTAGTTAGTAGGAATCTTTCAATCTTTAATTTTTGCATGATAAATTATATTTTGAAGTTTTTGTTATGTTTTTGATGTACTTTGGCTGTCAAATTTTTGACAATGTTTAACCTCTTTCTTTCCTTGTGGGATTTGTGTTTTGTTCTGCTTGGTTTTGTTCTGCTTGGATTGGAAGCGCCGTTGGGTAACAATTCCACTTTGATTGATTACTTTGAATGTAGGTTTTGGGGATGGATTATGCTGAAAAGTTTTGGTTTTCAATAATTTTTCCTCATTATTTCAACCATTGGATTGTTGCATTTGTTTGACTGCAGAACTGATAATGCTAAAACTGGAAATTTGTTATGTCCATTCTTATTTGAAATTATGCTCTTTGTCTGTCACAGTGGTTGCGGAAAACTAATAGAAAGCCTTTGCTGTCAGCTGTGGAGAAAATGAAAGAAGGTATGTTGCATTGACTTGTATACAAATCTTTATAAGAGAACTTTGTATGCATAGTATTATTATTATTTAAAAGCTTATTTTTGGTGAACTTCTATCTTCAGAGATGATGCTGCTTGGATTCATTTCACTCCTTTTAACAGCCACCTCAGCCACAATAGCAAATATCTGCATTCCATCAAAGTTTTATGATAGTAAATTTGCTCCATGCTCCAGAGCTGAGATTGATGAAGAAACTGAAGATTTATCTTCTGATGGCCGTAAACTGTTGACGAGTTTTCTTTTTCCTCATCCATATAGGAGAATGTTGAATGGATTGAATCAGAACACCTGCAAAAAGGCATGTGACTTATTCATAAAAACTAAAATCACAAACTCTTTTAACTTCAGTGTTCTATCCTTTAATACTTGTCTTTGTGAAGAGAAATTGTCAATAAACTTTATCAATGGAATTACCTAAACTCCTCGTGGCCTTTATTCAAATGACCGTTTAAGGTTCAAAGGCTGGTAATAGTGGTCGTGATAATGATGATACAAAAGGAAGTTTTATGTTTCTCTTTGACTAATTTTATAGTTTTTTTAAATATTTATCAATGTTTCTGCTTACATTTGACATGATTTATGGTAATTCTAAACTTGTTTTTTGTGCAGGGGTATGAGCCATTTGTTTCATATGAAGGTCTTGAGCAGTTGCACCGCTTCATCTTTGTCATGGCAGTCACACATGTATCTTACAGCTGCTTAACTATGTTGTTGGCAATTGTGAAGGTTCGATATATTTACTGTGATCAGGGTGAACCTAGCGAAGAAGTTTTCCTTTACAGTTGCAAATATTTTTTGTCTGGTTACTGTTTGGTGGACATATCAATGCTTTGTTCTGTGTAAATTTTATGTTGCATTTTAGAATGTCAATTTTTCATGTCCATCTTACCTTAATAAATAATGAGAATGGATGATTTTATTATTTGCATAGTTCTGAACTTTAGGCTTTCTCTATATTGTTTCTCATGTGGTGGCTCATCTAAACATAAGACTGGAAACTTCTAGAGAGCCACCTTCTGCTTAGATTTGTGATAAAAAAATAGTGAAGTGATATTAAAAAGTTCCTCTGATTGAGGAAAATGCAAATGGTTCTCAACGAAAAAGCAATCATCTAATCAAGTTTACATGTATGTATTGTTCTGATTATTTGAAAGGAAAGAGTTTCTATGACCCAAGTTCTCAATCAAATGCTGATGGAACAATATGCTTATATTGCAAGCTGCATCTTGTCGTATTTTATGTCCCCTAAATCTAGTATTTGGTTGTCTGTATGCTATGAACCAAAACATTTTTGGCCCTTTCAGTGGCTGGTTACTCAAACTTGAAATCAAATCCTCATGTTTATTTATTTTTTGAACTAACAGTTCAATCCTTTTTTTTTTTTCTGAAACAGATTCACAGTTGGAGATTATGGGAGGATAAGGCTCATATGGATCAGCATGATTGTTCAACTGGTAAGCTTCTATGCAATTTTAAAACTGTCAGCTCTGACTATTTCCTTTTGCTGTTACGGTCCTGTGATGAATTTCTCATATAGTTGCTTGCTTGAGTCCCATGCTTTTAATTTATACCTATTAAGAGAACTACTGCTGTGCTAGAATTTGCATATGGCATTGCTTGATTTCATTAATCCATCTATACTCTTTTCTGTAACAGAAATTAGAGAGATGACAATGCGGAGGCAAACTACCTTTGTCAGATATCACACATCAAATCCTTTAGTCAGGAATGGTTTACTTATCTGGGTGGTAGGTGCATAACCTCTGTTCTTTCTTCATTTACTTACACTTTGTTTAGTTTTGTAATTTTTTTTTTTTTTTTTTACTTATTATTTACAACTTTCAGTCCTGGAGTGTCAATGGCATTCAGTTATAATTTACTTGCACTCTGAATTGGAGGAGGGATTTGCAGGAAACTGAGTACACTGGGTAGCCCTAAAATTAAAAAAAAATTCCTGGCTAAATTTTTGCTAAAAAAACTGTATAGCATGTAGAGATGATTGAGATAAGAAGAATAGGAATTTGCTCTAGGATATTGGAAGGAGAAGGATATCTTCAGCACATATACTAATCATTAAGATTCTGTAAACTTCCAGCATCCTGCAAATAGATTTTCACCACCAACCAGATGCTTTAGAAGTGCATTTGAAGGGTTAATGGAGGGGATAACATGATTGGATCTACTAAAGAAGTATGAAGAGCAAAGAGAAAAGAGAGAAAGACAGTAATGTGAATGCTGACTTCCATACACAGTAGTCAATCCATTAACTTTCAGAAATCCAACTACATTCTTAAGTGGATCTGAGAAGTGTATTATACATTTTTGCTCATCTCTTACCTTGTCCAACTGAAAGGATGTATATCGTTTTGTCATCTATTGTCAAACCTTAAAGTGATTCCATTGGTATTGTAAGTTTTACTGAGATTGATGTTTTTGTCAACTTGCAGACCTGCTTCTTCCGGCAATTTGGACGTTCAGTTGTTCGTGCTGATTACCTTACTCTTCGCAAGGGCTTCATTACGGTGTGTAATTTGCTCACTTGCTGGAAACATATATTCCTCTAGAATTATTTTGCTATGATTCTTTTTGGATGTTTATGGACCTGTTTTCCATTAGGATTGTCCATGATTGTATTACAAACTCTTTTATCTGTCCACTTCATATTGTATGATGGTATCTGTGTGTTTATGGTGCTCCATAATTACTATCTTTTTTGGTATATAAAGAAAAACTACAGTGGCACATATACACACAAAATATATTTCAAAGTTCGAAGAAATCAGCGAAAAGGCAAAACACATACTCATTTATGCAAACAAATGTTTATGTAAAATTTGTAAAAAATTGTGGAAATCTGATTTTCAAGGTAGAATATCTTCTAGTTTCCAAACTTATTCGCCTTTAAAAAATTGGAATGAAGAAAACGAATCATGGAATTTTTACTTTCCTTTTACTTGCAACATCTCTGCCTTATAAATATTAACTCTTTTGTTTTTCTTTTTAATGTCAGAATCACAACCTCAGTCCAAAATATGATTTTCACAGCTATATGATTCGTTCTATGGAAGAAGAATTCCAAAGGATTGTTGGTGTGAGGTGAGGAGCACATTCAAATTTCTGATTATTTTTGTTATCGTATGATGATCAACATATGTGTTTCTTAAGTCTATACCTTTTACATTTTGCTTTCAGTAATGCCCCTTTTTTTCAATCTCTTGCAGTGGCCCCCTGTGGGGTTTTGTTGTTGCTTTCATGCTGTTCAACGTTAAAGGTATGCCATTATCTATGGAAAATGAGGCTGTGAGAGTTTGTTCTTATGCTTGCTTGGTTTTTGTTGCTTTTACATTATTATTTTCTCAATTGCTGCTGTCTGTGGCTCACTTCGACCACAGATATGAACTGCAGTTATATCTAGATAAAGAAATTGCAGTTCCCGTCTTATTCTATATCCAATTTTTTATTTTTTATTTTTTTAATGTATGGTCAAATTATATTTGGTCATCTTTAACTGTAACTCATGATTCATTGGTTCTAAACCATACTGCAGGGTCTAATCTCTATTTCTGGATTGCCATCATTCCTATCACTGTAAGTATACGAGCCAGATTTAGTTTTACAATTCTCTAGCCGTAGCTAGAGTGACTATGAAAAAGAAATTGACCTAGTTGAAAACTTTTTTGATGGCTTCATGATCTCTCATGCTTTGTTATTCTGATTTGGTATGCATGTGTGCAGCTTGTTCTCCTTGTGGGCACAAAGCTACAGCATGTGATTGCGACCTTGGCATTGGAGAATGTTGGCATAACTGGATTCTTTGCAGGAGCAAAGCTGAAACCAAGAGATGAACTTTTCTGGTTCAATAAGCCAGAACTATTGTTGTCTTTGATTCATTTCATTCTCTTCCAGGTTGTGAAAGTATTAGAACTTGTAAATGTGTTATTATTATTTTTTTGTAACGGTTTTCCTTGTTATGTGCATGGAGAAACTAACATGCTTCTTTTGGCAGAATGCATTTGAGCTGGCTTCATTTTTTTGGTTCTGGGTATATCCTCTTCCATGACTTTATTTGTATCATTTGAACTGTTGGAGATTACTTTTCTAATACCTGCTTTTTATACCAAGTTTACTCAATTACCAAGTTTTCTGCTCAACATTAGCAAACCTCAAATTGACTTAAAAAATAATTTCTACTATTAGTTAGAAGAGAATTTATTGGTGTCATACTAGGTCCCTGAACTTGTGTTGCTTTTTTTACCAGTTTGTATTTAACAAATTATGGCAATTTCAAAATAGTTATAGGAAGATATGTTTTAAGTACTTGATGAACAAGATGGGATCAGAAAGCTGGATAAGATTTTTCCGATTTCTGATAAAATAAATATGCAAGGATATAGGATATGTGCATTTTAACTAAGCTGTCTTTTTGTTGATGCATTTGCAGTGGCAGTTTGGCTATAATTCATGCTTTATTCACGATCATTTTCTGGTCTACTTACGACTTATTTTGGGGTATGATTTGATTCTAGACAGCTGTAATTTGTTATAAATGTACCATATATCAGCAGTTATGGACCTTACATCCCATGCTCTTATCTTGTAGATTTGCTGGACAGTTCCTCTGCAGCTACAGTACCCTGCCCCTCTATGCATTGGTTACACAGGTATTAAGATTAATAGTAACTAGTTCTCCCTCTGGAAACAAAGATACCAAAGTCAAAATGTATCATAAGCAAGAACTTAACCACAGTTAGTTTACTGCTTGATGGCCAATCGAAGTGATTTTTTAATGACATTGCATAATGTGTTGCCATATCTTTCAGATGGGAACAAACTATAAGGCGGCGTTGATTCCACAAAGGATTAGGGAGACAATCCATGGATGGAAGAAAGAAGCTAGGAGGAAGAGAAGGCACGGTCTTTTCCCCGATGATTCAACTATACATACAGACACAAGCACAGTGATGTCGTTAGAAGAATATGATCATCAATTGATCGATATTCCTGAAACTGCCCATGGCACTGGCAATGAAATTGAGTTACAACCTCACAACGATTCTACAACTCGCCCACCAGTTGCCAACGAGACATCAAGCAGAATCGGTACACCTCTCCTTCGACCCTCAGCATCTATTTCTTCAACGGCTACACCACCGGGTTTTCTAACAGAAGGTATTTCAAGATCATATTCTATGCCCGCTAGAAGAGAATGATAGAATATCGAGTATCGACGAAACAAAATAGAAAAAAGAATACATGTCTTGTGTACTTAGGCTTTAAATCGAACTGGGAAAGCAGCAGGTATAGTTTCTGTCTAAAGCACTCAACAATTTTTCTCTTCCTCTCTTTCCCAGATATTACGGCAGGTTAAGGGTCATTTAGAATACTCCTAGGATATAAGTTGTAACTACAATCTTGCAAATACTGAAATGTAACATATAGTGGTAATTATACAAGTTCTTAGATTCCTACATTTCCATCAAATCTTCTTTATCTTTCTTTAACAAATGTTTTTTTCTCATTCCATCTATGATTTAAGTCACATTCTACATCAAATTGGTGGCAAAATATAACGTGTGAAGTTGAGAGTCTTGAGACAATGGAATGATTTATAGCAGAAAGTGAAAGCTCAACCTGAGTGAGTTTATTATTTCAACTTATTAAAAACTACATATTATTTATAGAACTAAATGTTCCTGGAATGGGATAGTCTTAAACATGAGATCCATCCTCTCCTCGTGGGTTTGAAGAGTTTGAGCTGGGATTTTTAGGCATGGGCATGGGCATGAACTCAATTTCCCCTCCATTTTGAGGCTGTGCTGGGTCGATTTCAATGGTGGAGGCATTACTGATACCACAACCAGTATTAGTTCCATAACTTGTAACGGTACCAGTACCCATGCCTCCAGCTGACCCAGTTCCATTTCCTGAAACAAATACAGTACCACCTGAAACAAACACAGTTCCATTTCCTGAAACAAATACAGTACCACCTGAAACAAACCCAGTTCCAGTCTCTGACCCATTTCCATCAGCTTTCTCAATCATTGCATCAACACCATCTATTTTTTCCTTATCATTATTGATGACATCAAAACTATCTATTTTTTCCTTATCATTATTGATTACATCAACACTATCTATTTTCTCTTTATCATTGTTGATGACACCATCCCTATCTTGTTTTATTTTACCATCATTCAAGAGAACCCTGTGAGCAAAACTGTAGCTCAAGCATAGCAACACGAGAAGGCAATGGGTCAAATTTTGAGTTGTAGCCATTTTTTGCAAACTTTGTGCTTTGCATAATTTGCTTTTACGGGTATAAATGATTTTACAACGTGGTGGAGGAGAAAGAGAGTGAAGCACAAAACTACTCTCCTGATTTTGTTGTTAAAATCCAGGGTCATGGAGCTCGCATGTTGAACGTTTACGTGCGTGTTGTGATTGTTTCAATATATTTAGCCAAAGACAATTCCTTTAGCTTCTTTTACGTTCATGTGTTTGAGTGATGATGCCAACTGTTTCTGCAGGAATTCTTTTTCAATTCTGAAATTTATATGTTAAGGTTTTAGCTAGCATGGCAATGGGGCGGGGAATGACGGGGATTCCCCATCCTGCCCATGGGGAATTTTAGAGGCTCATCCTCACCCGTTAAGTTTTACATAACATCAATTATGAAACAAACAAATGAACAAACTATTTGAGCCAAAGAATAGTTAATTTCTTTCAACTTGAGATTCCCACATGACAAACACTAATTTAATCGTCTAAACTTAAGCTAAGGCATTGCGTTTGTCCAAATACAGACTCATTATGTTTTGATCAATTACACCAACTGAAAAACAAAACAAAAACTGTTTAGCATTGCATAATTTTTCAAAAATACTCATTATATATATATAAGAACAGGCAGCGGGGAAGGGCACTCCCCGCCCAAGCCCTACCCATCCTCAGGATGGGATTAAAACTCGTCCTTACCCGCCCCTATCCCCCAAAAAGGAAATCCTGGCGAAGAGACAACCTTGGAATTCCGCGCCCATTGCCATGCCTAGTTTTAGTTGAGTTAACAACTTTTTCCCACCCGAACAAAAGCTTATACCACTTTCCCACCTCATGCTTTTAAATATCATTTTAGTATCCAAAGCACAATTTTATTAGTAATTTCATATAGGAGGTAAGATGTCAAAGTAGTAATAAGTGAGGGCAGAATAGTCAACAAACATTTTGCAATTGAAATTAAAACTTAAAATTTCAAGACAGCGAACGCAAGGGCAGCGATCAAGACCCACGAATGACGAGTAATCAAGTACCAGGTTTTGATGGGTTTATAAGAGGAAGATCGGAGGTTAAAAGTTGGTGGAAGATTGATTTTCCAGCCGGAATAGGCAGAATCGTGCAAAAACAGTGAAACCCTAGGTGGGAGAGCAAGTAGGCGTGCAATTGGCGTGGGAAGGTTAGGGGTTTTAGAGATGGGAACCATGCAGTGAGTTGATTGTGGTCTCAAAAGGGATTTCCGAGTCGTAATCGAAAAAAAGGAAAAGATCATGCGAACCACAGTGCTTTTTAGGTCATTTCGTTACCTAAATCGTCCCTGTCACCACCAATCGACTCTCTGGATCTTCCTCTCCAAAAGCCCCATGTGCACCCTAACGTGTCACCATCATCCCTGTCGTGCACGCACGCTTGGCTAGAGAGTTGTTGAGGAATTCCCTAAACACCTGGTGGGCATGAATGGAGGTGTTTGTGGCGGGGGGGGCAAATGGTGGCCAATAATACACAACACCACAATTAAGCAACCAGGGGTGGCTACGGAGAGTGTGGGGTTGAGGGTGGAAACGGTGAGTGAGGGCGGCCGATGGAGGGTTGGTTTTCTAGTGGGGATGAATGGGGTTTGAGTGGTGGCTTTCAGGTTAAATTTTTAGTGAGAAAACAGTCGAATTGGTTCTGCAAAGGAGGGAGAAACCGAACCAGAAAGAGGTTTGTTTTCCGATGAATGGAGGGTGTAGAGGGGTTTTTTTCTTTCTAAATTACTGTATTTCCCACTCAAACCATGTGAAAACATAATATTTGGTAGGGTGTTCAAAGAACTAGTTGGAACCAGATCGGCGGGTACCCTGGGTTTGGTTCCAATTCCTACCCAGAATCAGTCGTCAAGGGTAGGTTCCGGTTCCAAATTTTTGGAACCAACTGTGCGGTTCCGGTTCCTATAGTTAGACCGACCGAAACCAGGAACCGGAACCGAGACTATATAATAAAATTAAAGATTGGGGTTAATAAAAACATTTGTGAAAAAGTAATATAAATACATTTATATTTATATTTCATAATATTTAAAGTAAGTTGGTTTGCCTTTTGAGAATCTACCTTTACAAAGTAATGGAGTTGTAATTTTGAATTTATAATTTGTAATTTTATTTTTGTTAACAAGTGCCAGGTGGGGGGGTATTTGTAAGTTTTTAAGAGTTTTTTTGCCATTTTAAAAACTTTTGAGGGGTCATGTAACTTTGAGGGTACCCAGAACCGAATCGGAACCATTGTTACAGGTTCTGGTTCTGAGTACTAAAACCGGAACCGTTGGTTTCGGTTCTGGTTCCAAATTTTAAGAAACTGTCGGTTCCGGTTCTGGTTCCTTAAAAAAATGTAGGGTACCCGGAATCGAAACCTCTAATATTTGGGTAATACAAGTGTATTTTAAAAGTTGAGGATGAGAAAGTGTCATTAAACTTTTTTGGGTGGGAAAAAGACATTAACTTAGTTTTAGCTGCAGTTAAGTTTTGCAATGAGCGAGTAACATAGACCTCCTTCAAGTCTAGTGAAATAACCAATGCTCCCAAAGGTTTGCAAAGTAACAAAATCCCTCAGTTTTCAATAAGTACCATTTTACCCTCACATGTAGCATACTTTCACAATAATCATACTTAAAAGAAATCTTACAAAGATTTTCAAACAAAGTGAGGTGGTAAAAAATAATGTAAAGTGAAATAAAGTCAAACCATTAATTCACTCTCCATTCATTTTTTGTCATATCTTTTGTATGAAGATCTTTGTAAATTTTTTAAGTGTAGTATTACTCTATACTTCTTGATTAAAATGAAAATCTTATGAATTTAAAAATGACAAGTAATTTTTGTATATTTTTTTATTCCTTTTTATTCACAGTTTTTATATAAATTTATAGTTTCTATTTTTTTCTTTTATGATTATTATTTTAATAATATATGCCTGACAGTTGATAAATTTTGTATTGAAAAGTGTGCTAAAAGTGAGGATAAAATGGTGCTTATCCAAATAAAATTGTGTCATAATTTGTTTCTCACAACATTTCTTAAAAATTGGAGTGTTTTGTTACAACATAAACCTTGGGTATGAAGGAGTATTATCACTCGTTTTAATATGATGGGTTTACTTATGTACCATAGACTTGCAAAAGGGTTATACCACGGTGCATCCGTACTGTTTAAAACATACTGACTTGAGAAAATGGCGCTGTATCCGTTGGGCTCGTACTCTTTACGCCCAGACCGTACTTGCCATTCGTCTGTTTTGCTAGGTTAGTTACCAGATGCATAACCAAAAACATTATTTGAAGTCACTTTGCATAAAATGGTGGTAAAATAGAACTATAACCTTGAGAAATGGAATGATTTAATTTCACTATTGAATCATAAATTGTAGCAGAAATGAAGCTCAGACTCTAATTATTGAGTGACTTTATTCAATTTTTTTCAAATAAAAAGTACAATTTATTCAGAGCTAAATATCTTGACTGAACTCAGTCAGTCCTAAACATGGGATTCACCCTTGGGCTGGGCTTGCCCAATTCCCCATCATTTTGGCAAGGAATGCAAGGGGGGTTGGCCACAACCGGTGTTGGATTAGCAGGAATGGGAAGGGTTTGGGACAGGGAAATGGATAGGGACGGGGAATAGAGATAGGGATAGGAAAATTAGGAATGGGATGTTAGGAATAGGGATAGGAAAATTAGGGACAGGGATATTAGGAATAGGGATAGTGGGGATAGGCTGATTAGGACAAGTATTTTGATGTGGGCAGTCTGTGTTAATACCAGTACCAGTACCAGTACCCGTTCCTGTTCCATACCTGTACCACTTCCAAAGCCTGTACCAGTACCGAACCTGCTCCAAAACCTATACCGGTACAGTGCCACTTCCACCCCAGTACGATACCACTCCAGTACCATACCAAACCTGTACCTGTACCAGTACCATACCAGTCCCAGAACCGATACCACTCCGAAACCTGGACCAGCACCTGTACCTGACCGGTGCCGGTTCCTGACCCAAATCCAGTACCACCAGAACCAAATCCAGTCCCAGTTCCTACCCAACTCCAACCACTTTCTCAATGTCCACATCGCCACTATCTACTTTTTCTTTACCAGCATTGATGACACCAGCAGTATCAGCTTTTAGTTTATCATTCAAAAGAACTCTGTGAGCAAAACTGAAGCTTAAGCATAGTAATAACAAGAAACTCGTAAAGGCAAATTTTTCTGGTGGAGCCATTTTTTGCCAAGTTTGCTGCTTTGCATTGCTCTGAGTGTAACTTTTATCAAGCTATAAATAGATTTCACAATGTACCGGAGAGGAGGAGAAAATAGAGTGAAGCACAAAACTCCTTGTCATGGTTTGTTGTTGGAATCTGGAATCATGGAGCTTCTGTGAAGAGTGATTTATGAGCTTCTTTTACGTTCATGGTGAGTAAGTGATGACGCCAACTGGTTTTGCAGGAACTTCGTTTCGGCTTCCGAAATTTATTTTGTAAAACATGTAAGCTCTAAACCCTCCAGAAGTTTTGCCACATGTATTAATCGCATCCATTTCTTCGCATGGATTTATTATATTATAATATTTTAAGTAAACTGCTTCTTTTTAAATCAAACCTGAGCTTTTTTTAAGAGATAACGGCTTTTCCTGCATCAAATAATGCCTTAATTACACTTTTTCACCAGGTACCTTTAAAAATACTTTTATATATAAAATATTATTTTATGAATAAAGAGCAAACTCAGTTTAAATAGATAGAGCTTTTGAAGAAGAAAAACTAATAAGTCTTTTGACAGTGAAAGGTTAAATTTTAATAGTTCGGATTGATTAAAATTTGACTTAGAAAAAACAGTTACACAAATCCTAATCGCTTGATTTTCAACAATTGAAAGGGTCTTCGAAAGTAAGGTTTTAAAAGATGTTACTGAGTGATGATTAGGAAAGAAAATAATGGTATTGGAGGGGTCTTCCAAAGTAGGGTTTTGAAAGATCTTAGTGAGTGATAATTAAAGAAAAGAACGATAATAATATGAAATCGCAACTATGACGGCATCGAAAACATAATATAAATTTAGATAATAAAATGGTTTTTAAAAAATATGTGTGTGGAAAAATGTCACTATGCCATTATTTAGGTTGAAAAAGTCGTTTATTCTTTCTTTTTAACATTTAATATCGTTTTGCTTTTTTTAACACGCGATGTTATATGATAAAAATAAAATAGCAAAAACTTATTGGAAGTTTTAATTCTAAACCATTAGGCAGTATGATGGCTCTATTTCATCAAATTTGTTTGGGAACATTTATCCTGATTTCCATTGGGAATTCCGAAGAACAAATAAACAAAAGCCTTTTACATGAAAAAAAAGGACCCCCAGTTTGAAATATTGGGTAGTTCTTTAAAAAGTTGTTACAAAAAAAAGTTCATTCAAATTTAGGAACATCCACCTTTAAACTTCATCTCCAGCGCCTTCTGCTTCAGCTGCTTCTAGACTTTCAGCCAACATTCGGTGTCTGTTCTGCGTTTGTCTCTCTACAGCAACCATATACAGACCTATACAAATAACAACAAATATCTATCATCAAATTCAATAGCATGTGGAAGAGTAAAAACACAAGAAATTTTAATCATTTGTCAGTTAAACAAAATATGTTAGGCAAGAATCTGACAAGAAAGGTTATCGAGACATACCAATTGCACTTCCAATTGCACAGGCCCAGAGAATCCTCATGGACCATTTATCTCCAATAACTCCCCTGGTTCCCATTTCTAGCTGCAAATATCCATCCAAGTCTGTTCAGTGTAATGACATTCTAAACTTAAACAACAATTTAAATCTGATAAAAAAGTACATGCTAATGGATCAAAAGGAAATAACAATCTTGTATGCTTCGCGCTTAAACTTTCCAACACTATTAAGTGTAGTAATGTGGCACTGGGGTTACAGAAGACATGTGCAGCTGTTCCACCATGTAATCAGTTAGAAATGCATTCAAGATGTGTGCAGTTTTAACTTTTAAATCAGTCGGCAATGAAGCTTTCACAAATTTGTTCAGCCTACCATTTGAGCCTTGGTCTAAGTGAAAAGGGCTTAACCTCAAGAATGAACACAGGAACCAATCTAAGCAAGTATTTCCTGAAATACGATATTCCTGGCAAAAGGCATGGAAAGCATTTCTAATTGGTGTTCTCACTGTCACATTAATGAAAAAACTTCAAAACCCTGAACAAGAAGTTACAGTGGGAGAACCAGCATACAATGTTTCCAACTTCAAATGGTCATATCCAAGTTGCTTTTAAATTCCAATTTTATCAACTGTTCCTTTCTCCCAAAACTGCTCTGTCATGGTTCATAGCAAGAGTTGTAAATAAATGTCATGAATACAACCTGCTGCCATCAATGGACATGGCCAAGAAGTCCATTCACCAGTTGCTAATTCCCAATTGAGACATGCAGCCCTCAAAGTTAGTCCATAAGGCCAAAATGACAGTTGCTGAGAGGCAGATGGTTAACACCATGCTTTAAATGTATCAACTAGGAAAGTAAGTCATTACTGGCAGTGAGCTTCTAAATAAGTAATTTCTGTCCTACAATATTCAGTGGAATAAAATGGTGGTGAAAATGATCTTGGCCCTTCTATATGTAAAAGAGCATAATAGGTTAGAGATTGCAGGCTGCAAATTTCATAGAGAAGAACAGCTGATAGAGCAGAATTTTTTCGTGGGTGTACGGATGTTCGACAAGGTTGGTCCTAAAGTACAATGGTCGCACATTTTTCTTGAAAATGAGCCATCAGGTCAATTACATCCAGTGAATAAATAATACTAATAAGTTAGATTTCATGAATACTCAGCATTTCCTGGGACGCTTTTCTTTCCAAGAAAAGCCATACAATTTAATAATCCACAATAATTCAAGGGAATGAAAATCTCAATCTGTTGAATGGAACACTGGGTTTGCATTCAAATTTTAAGGTCTCTTTGCCCAACAAATCAAAATAACTCAATATTCAGCACACACCATCTTAAAATTTCAAACTAATATATAGTTGAAAGAAACAACAATAAATCATCATTTCACATAAAAAAGAAAATGTTACACTTAAATTATACTTTAAATGGCACCTAAAATCAATTAAGGAGGAACATATCGCCTAAAAGATCGTTCCTTCAGATTTTCCAACTACGCTCACTAAATTTACTTTAAAGACAAGTATCTAGTTAATTTATATTGTTTCCAGAAACATACTGAAACAAACAAGTACAACACGAACTAGAGCAAATAGAAACTACCAAAATATAATCAAAAGAGCAGAAAGAAAGAATCAGCAAATTGAGTTTTTTTTTTTTTTTTTTTCCTTCTTGACAAGAAACTATGAAAGTTATATCAATTCATAAGTAGAACCGAGCCGAACCCAATTCTATAACAATAAAAACCATCTTATTTTCAAACATTCATAAGATATGAGATCAATTTCAAAAAAAAGAGAGTGGAGTCGGGAGTGTACCTTAGAAACAAGAGTTCAATACTCTTCTGCTTCAATTAACCGTACCGCTGCTAACCATAGAGGAAGTGAGAGGTGGTTTTTCGTGTTTATATATTTTTAACGGGCCTGGGCCAGCGGACGGACCCAGCCCAGGGCAATCGAACGTGCTTAATTCGAGACCCAAGTAACGAGTCAAGTACATTTTGGTCCTTGAGGTTTGGCTTTAGTTTTCAAGGTCCAGTAGAATCTAAAAGTAACACTTAGGTCCTTATTAATTATCAACTATTTGTAGAATTTATGTAAAAAGTCTAAAGTATCCCTAAATATTTTTTTTATATAATTAACAGAATTCCTCTAAATTTTTAACAAAAATGTCAATTAAGGGTTTTTTTCTTTTAAATAATCCTCGTAATTTTTTAATGTCAATTACATGAGACAAGATTAGGAGTAGTTTGAGCAAAAAGAGATTTATGAACTCTTGACTTCGAGTCTCTCTAAACACTAATAAGGGTGGTCATTAAAACTTTTATTCAACTGACAATTCTAAGATCTCGAGAGATTTATTAAGTAAACAGTTTGACTAACTTTGACTTATGTGGACATAAAGTCATAAACTTTGGAATAAGGTTCGTCTTGTCTTGTTGCCATGTCTTTGGAATCCTCAAGGACAAATTCTAGCTCCGTTGAGGTTCAGGTTCAGCTCAGCTGTATGCAACTTGACCTTTCTTGGGGATTAGCTCTTGAATGATCAAATTGTAGCATTTTGCTTTCAAATTGCAGACAGATTTACTTCTTTTTGTTTTTTGCAAAAGAACATGAAATAACATACAGGGAAGGATTAAAAAAGGCATGGAATGTAGAAATAGCTATAGAAAATGAACAAAATGATGCAAATGCAATAGCATTGCTAATATAAATAGGTTCCTGAATTCTATTAATTATATGTAATAAAGGAAAAAAAAAATTATACATTGATTTTATCTTCAAAAGGGTCATTGAGTTAGTCTCTGCATCTCATTTTGGTCATTGAGGGTTTCAATGAGAAGTGGAGGAGCATATTGAGCTGTGCCTTGGTGCTCTTCTGAGTCCTGGCAGAACGAAAGGATGATTGTATCAATTGACATCTCCACCACTCCGAAGAACAGAGTCGCCACAACATAGCCAAGACCCCAGCAAACCTGTTTAACAAGCCAACATTCAAATTATTAGAACCTAGTTTTAGTCATCAACACTGTAAAACTTATTCATGAGTCAAGGATTTTAAAAGTTCTCAGATGAGAATTGGACACCAAACATCATCCCGATCTGTACTTAAGCACAGTTTACACCTGCAACAGCTACAATTTCCATGCTGGCAAATCAAGTCAAGAACATTTTTGTGTTGAATTAACCTATGGTGTTTAGATAAGATTATTGAAGAGAAACTATGAAGCATGGCAGACATATTTAAGCTCAATTTTGCTTTTCTATTCTTAGATATACATTCTTCAATATATCTTTCAATCGTCTACTCAAATAGGCCTCCGGTTAGATTGCCTTTCTTCATTGGTTCAAGAAACACAAATTAAATTAGAATGTATCACATTTAGGATTGAATTCTAAAACTTACCAACACAGGAAACAACGGGGAGGATATCTTGTTATGAGCAGATCTGTATTTGTGGGTATCCAACATGAGGAAAGCAAAAACAGCACTCGAGAGGCTGACACACAATTTCCCAAGAAATAGAATAACATCTCCAATCACATTCACCCGCCCTATGCGAAGGATGTTATTCATGATCAATTCTGTTGCAATAGCAGAAGCCCTACAGAAGCTTTTTCCCGTAATAGCAATCTACAGCAATCAGGAACAAACGGTCAAGCAACCAACAGAAATGGGCATACAACAAAAAAAAAAAAAAAGAAAAAAAAAAAAGACTTTTTTCCGAGATTACCATTATATAGGCATTGCGGTTCACGGATTTGATGGTCCATTCTATGCCCCTCAGACAACCCCGAGAAGAATAAAATGCTGCCTTTCCATACCAGCTATCAGGTGTAGTACCACCAATTTTCATTTTGCGACGAATTGACTCAAGAATAAAGCGAATTGATTCTACAAATGACACAATCAAGGATCCAAGAGCCACAGAACCAAGACTGTATCGCAGCAGCCGTTTCATAGAGGAAAAAACTGGAAGAAATGGAATCTCTGGCTGCATTGGGAAATAAAAAAGCATTCAAGGAAAGAACACAGAAACAATTCTCTCTCTCTCTCTTTTTTTATTTTTTTATTTTTTGGGTGACAAACAGACCTAATTCACAAAGATATTGATTGATGCAAATGACATGCATGCTTGAATTTGTGCTTCTAAATATAAAATTTGTACATATATCAACATGTTTGTAGCTTACCGATGTTTCACCACGAGCCCAATAATAAGAGGCAACAGAACCTGCAATTACAGTCNATCACATTCACCCGCCCTATGCGAAGGATGTTATTCATGATCAACTCTGTTGCAATAGCAGAAGCCCTACAGAAGCTTTTTCCCGTAATAGCAATCTACAGCAATCAGGAACAAACGGTCAAGCAACCAACAGAAATGGGCATACAACAAAAAAAAAAAAAAAGAAAAAAAAAAAAGACTTTTTTCCGAGATTACCATTATATAGGCATTGCGGTTCACGGATTTGATGGTCCATTCTATGCCCCTCAGACAACCCCGAGAAGAATAAAATGCTGCCTTTCCATACCAGCTATCAGGTGTAGTACCACCAATTTTCATTTTGCGACGAATTGACTCAAGAATAAAGCGAATTGATTCTACAAATGACACAATCAAGGATCCAAGAGCCACAGAACCAAGACTGTATCGCAGCAGCCGTTTCATAGAGGAAAAAACTGGAAGAAATGGAATCTCTGGCTGCATTGGGAAATAAAAAAGCATTCAAGGAAAGAACACAGAAACAATTCTCTCTCTCTCTCTTTTTTTATTTTTTTATTTTTTGGGTGACAAACAGACCTAATTCACAAAGATATTGATTGATGCAAATGACATGCATGCTTGAATTTGTGCTTCTAAATATAAAATTTGTACATATATCAACATGTTTGTAGCTTACCGATGTTTCACCACGAGCCCAATAATAAGAGGCAACAGAACCTGCAATTACAGTCGAAGACGATGCAATGAAAAATTGAGTAGCCCAGTAGCATCCAAAGAGGTGGAAAAAGATGGCAATAGCAATATGTGGAGTGTAATGGATGCTATAACCACAGCAGCGATCACAGTTCACACTTTTTGACACAAGATCATAGGCACAGCAGTTGGAATTGCACTTATTTTGAACAACCTGGCCAGAACTGAACAAATGAAGAGCAGCTGAAATCCAGAACATATAAAAAATTGCAAGCATCAAATAGGGTATGATTGGAAAAATTATGAGTGCTTGAACTTCTCCAATGACCTTTGCAGCAACCTGAAAAGAAATTTAAGATCTTAAGCAATGAAATAAAAAGAGCATGATAAGAAAGTAAAATCATTCATACCCCAGATGACATTAACCTAATTCATTAATTAAAAATAAAGTCAAATTATGGATGCTGGTGTTCTCTAGGATAGGCAAATGTATAGTTCAAAAAGATATTTTGATAAGCCTCCTATAACTAAATTGTACAAGAAGAAGAAAAAGGGCAGCCTGGGAAATTCAGTGGACAGGGGCAACAAGGGGAATTCAGATTAGAATATACATCAGTTTGGTTCCTAAAACAGAGCTGTGCCACTGAGTTTTCACTAACAGTATTTCATTGAGTTTTGGGGTGATTTTCTGGTGTTCTCATCATATTTCTACAAGTAGCAAGTTAAATATCTTTATATCAAAAGCCACGTATCCATGTAGTCAGATGCTTTATGTCATCAAAAAGTTAACTTATTCTTGTTTTGCTTTGATCCACCTTCTTTTGAATGCTATTGTATATTTTCAAATTCCAAGCTTATAAGAGGGGAAAAAAAAAAAAAAAAAAAAATCTCAGTCTGAAGTTAAAAAAAGCCTATACATTGTTTGATATCTATCCGCTGAAAGGGTCAGGTTTCAGAGGCTGACTGGAACTGCATTAATGTTGGATGTCTTGGGATTAAATCTAAGAGCACATAACAGAGAAAGGCCAGCATGGCCACAAGGAGCCAAGGAGGACTATCCCCATTCCCCTGTTCTCTAACCCTATCACCTTCAGGAAAATAGTTGTGCATTCAAAATTAGAAAAACCCTTTCATAAACTGAAATTGAAGACAGTTTCAGCAGATCCAGTATTCTCTCTTTTTCATTTTTGTGCATAATAGAGTAGACATAGCACTTGCCTTCAGGACAGATGTTGCCATTAGGATGCGGCGAACAATAGCAATTGAAGTAAGAATGGCAACAACCATTATAAAGGTCATAAGAACAGCAACAGCACGGATATGATTTAGCTCCTGAAAGATACAAAAGAGCATTAAATCAGTGTGAGATATATATACACTTCCAAAGGTAAACTGAGTAAGTGATTAAACCCACCCGTGCAGATACATGATAGTATGGATCATGAACACCAATGATGGGGGAGATGGCATCGTTCCCTATCCATCCAGCTAGAAGAAAAGAAGACAAAATAATCAGCACAATTTTTCATCGAAAATTATTCTCACTTTTAAATACAAAAGCAAATGAAGTAGATAAATCGATACCATAATAAAAATACTTCAGTCAAACTGGTGAAAGAAATCAGAAATCTAAAATTTCTCTATGATTAAGAGATCACTATAGAAACCTCAAATTCTTAGCATTACGAAAGTAGTACAAAGCGGGAAACAGTATACTATCTTTTAGCAGTCCTTTTAGAAATGCTTACACATTTATAAGCTACATTTTCTGTAGCCATCCTCCCATTAGTACATGCAATTTCCTGAATAAATTTTATTAATGGGTAAGTCATGAACTCATATTATTTCATGACAGTCGCAGAGACTCTAACAATGATACGTTTCTTTATAACAATGCCATTAGAGAGATCTGAACTCTTGACAGCAGAACATGCACAAACTCCAAATTGCTAGCAATATGCTGTGGAACACAGCTCAACCATCATATTTATGACCATGACTTAGATATAAGCAGCATGTTCCTGATATTAAAACTCAAACTTTGGTATAGCAGCCAGGAAAGAAATGTAAAAGATATATTACATACCTTTTAAGTAATAAAACATAGTCACAGATATTATGAGAATATTAAAGAGGGAAACTGTTATCCATGGCATTGCAGCAACAAAATGCCGAATCATCAGCAGCCAAATCACTGAGAGAAACAGTGGCAAGAGTCCTCCACAGACAATCAATACTGGCCAGGACTTTCCAATATCTGCCATATATCTCTGCGAAAGCACAGATAATAAATATTACATTCCAGGATTCAATGTGATTAAACAAAAGAAAGACGGGAAGAAGAATAAAATAATTAAAGTTTGATGTAAATTTTGACAGAATAAACTACTTCAAAGAGCTCTTGGCAAACTACTCAATTGATTGAAGTAACCAGCATCTATCCATTCACTAAGTAAGCCTTCATGGACTAGGAGGTTGTCTCAACAACTCCTATTGCTTGGGCAGTGGAGTTGGGTGGCGGACAGATCCTACAACTGGTGTACCTTCAGTGCCACACAGTTATGGCACAACTATGCAAAATTGTGTTTTATCCTACCAAATGAGATTGCCCGGTGTTGGCCTGCCTGGTGAGGTCCTAGAAGTGGAGTTATGGATATGACTATAACCTTCAAGTTGTGTTATATCTTACTCAATAGCATAAATTTGACATTCATTTCTAATGTACATATTACAATAATTCCACAAGCAAAGAAAAAAAGTTTTCAACCTTTAATACAGATGATCGAGAGTTGACCGTCTTGTGAATTGATTTATCAATTATAATGTCCTCATTGATATTCACTCCACCCATCTGTTGCCAATGCTTCAAAGACAAATTTGACACACGAGCTAAGTATTGGCAGCTCCAATAAACTGCAAACATTATAATGGGAAGAGAAGATATTTATATATTGACAAACTGAAACCGTAAAAGAGTAAGCAATTCTTTTCATTAATGTCCAAAGTTTTATAGCAAAGAAAATCACAGGTAGCACAGATTCCATACGCAAATAGCATATAGAACGCATACATATGAATGTACATGTTAATATATTAAACAGCACAATCAAAACAAAATATCTTCACCTACCATTTACACTTGGAAACAAGACAGGATAACAAGGACCCTGAAGTTGAAGAGAGCTGTTTCGCATTGCTGGCGTAAGGAATTCAAAATAATCATAATTTCTATCAATCCAGTCGTCCATATTGAGACGAATTTCTCCCTCTGGATAATCACAGACCCAATTTAGTGAATCCTCAGCCGGGATAGGGCAATCCAACAAGCATATACTCCGGGCATTTTCCAACTTTAATTGGCCGTCCTTCAAACCACTTTGATAAACCTGATTAGGATTTAGCCAATATCTCAGTTCCAGTTCACGAAGGCCAGGATCCGCATGCCTGTCACCACATACGTTACCTTTGTAGTCCAACCCATATGTAAGCCTGGTAAGGCACAGTAGAATTAAACCACATAAAGTAAATTAATGAATAGAAAACAAACTCGAAAGGTACCCCAAAAAGTTTATAAACTGAGAGCAAGCAAGCAAAATATATGTTTGTGTACTCGTAAAACAGAATAACCATAAGCATAACTATTGCAAAATCTTGAACTAGTAACCAACTCCGCCTATAGTAGAATAATGCAATGAAAGGTTTTGTTGCCAAAGGTACTCGTTAGTACGTAGATTCTAGATTAATTATATGCTAATGAACCTGATGAAAACAACACCAAAATGGACTCACGTTAGAGGAATGAATACCCATTAGGGCTAAATATAATCCCTAACAATTACCATCATCTGATTGTGAGCCAATTACGAAATTTATGTGACTTTGGTTTTAACCCATATTTGCTATAAGTATAACATCAATCATGACATATAATTACAGTTGAACATAAGAAGAGCTAAAGTCCTCTAGACTCCAGTCATTCTGTATCTATTACTTCATCTCTTCACCTCGAATTCTTCACCAACCAAACTGATGAAAAGGATACTTGAACAAAGATGAGAACCCAATTGTCGCACTAAATACAACCTAACAACATGATACATACACTTTTGATAGAAAAAAAAAACCACATATTATATATTAAAGCATATGAAAAAGGTAATGAAATGGCAAAACATAAGAGACAAATCAGATATATGACTGGCAGAAAAGGAACCAAATGGTGATGACAATAAAACATACCATAAATAGAAAAAAAAAAATCAAACTTTACCAAAACAAAAAGCAACCCATATGGAGAATTATCAAGTAGATGAAGTGGGTATTATCAAAACCTTACCTTAGTGGGTTTCCTTGGTTAAATCCAAAGCTAGAGTTAACAATCATGGCCACCCAAAATGCTATAAATATAACAAGAAATGCAATATCCCTACATTTCCTGTTGTGCCTTATGATTCCACCATCAATTGGAACACTTCCATCACTTGATGGGTACCTCCCTATAACTGCTCCCAAAGGTCCTCTCATGGCTTCTTCACACAACAAACTCTCCGGATACTAAGCTGTCACTGTGAAAAATGTGATCTTTCTGCAACTAGAGTGAGAAAGAAGAGAGGTATTTGAGAGAGAAGTAGAGAGGGGAGTGAGTAGAGTAGAAGCTAGTGAAGCTTGGGTGAGTGAAAAGAGAAAAAGAAAGTAAGAGCAAATAGGGGGAGGCTTTAGATTTGGAATATTTTTAATAATTTTTTGTTTGGTTTTTAAGACAAAGATATTTGAGTATGCTGTCTCTTGAAACAAAATTAATAATTAATTAGTGTTTACAGAATCGACGCCTTCTGGCTCAGATTGGGAATCTTTTGTCGGCTTGGCTTGGCTTATGTGGGGCTTAAAGAATTGCTTATTAGTTTTATTTATTTTTTATTTTTTAATTAGAGTTTTCGAGATAGTTTACGTGTGTCTCAACTAATCTTGAGGTCTATTAAATACTGTATAAACCAAAATAATTAGATAAATTATAATATTATTATGATAGGTGGCCCTAAGGTTTGAATCTATAACTCAAAAAAGAGAATAAAATCTCTTTGATCGTCAAAACAATTTCTTGGCTATTTAATTATTTTTATTAGAGTAATATTATGCTAACAAACGAATCTTACAAACTTTCTTTCATAAACCCGATGTGACACTCCCACCACATTGCAGGTGACATTAGTAGACACGAAAAATTTATCATAAATCAATTATTAATTGTCACGTTAGGTTTGTAAGAGAAAGTTTATAAGATTTGTTTGTTATCGATCTTTATTATTTTTGTTATGGGTGATTAATGTATAATCTAGTAGAAATTAGTATTTATGTTATTATACTGGTAAATATTTAAAATACATGATTTAATTTGGAAAGTTATCCATTATCATTTTCAATTTTTTATTAAATTAGTATTTGATTATTAGAAAAAATTATTCGTCTTCATTTTATGAATTTCTTGAATCATTTTCGTAAAAAAAAAAAAAAAAAAAAAAAACCACTTAAGATTCATTTATTTAAGTACTATTCTACTACTAAGTATTAATATATATCATTTAAATTAAGAAAACTCATAAATCTCGTTAAAATTATTAATTTTGTATCTTTAAAAATATTTATTTAAACAATTTTGTGTATCTTATATTGTCTACTAAATTATTTTTAATTGCAAAATATATATATATTGCAATTAAAAGTACGGCGAGCCGTATATGGAATTGGCCAGACCGCAAGAGCAGTTAATTAATTAATTAATTAAAATAAAACCGAACCATCATGGAGCTAACAGTATTTTTTCCGCCGCTTATTCTGATAAGGACACAACTAGTAAAGCGCCTGCTGTGTGCTGTGAGGTACATATTCCTTACTGTGCAGACCGCTGATGGTCTTGGAAAGTGTTTGGGCTTCATCTCGAGATACTATCCAACGATGGCGAAACGTCGATGAGTTAAAAGGCAGAATTTTACTTTTTCTTTTTCATGGGATAAGGGTTTTGTGACTTAGTCAAATAATATTTCTGAATAAAAATATGGCTCCGTTTGGTTCAAAATTTGGGGGTTTTGGAAAAAGTTTTTTGAAAAAAATTAAAAAAAAGTTGAATTGGGCGGGTATTACGATGTAGAATTTATAAATTAATAAAATACTCTTTATGTTTATTTTTTTACAAAATACCCCCTATAATAAAACATTAAAAGTTAACAAAAATACCCCTAACCCACCCTCAAACACCTCCAGCCGGCGACCACCACCAGAGGTGGCCGGAGTCGCCTTATAGGCGCATGACCGGTTGGATCTTGCCGGTCATGCGTCGCTATGACCTTTTTCGGCCAGATCCACGGTGGATCTGACCGGAAAAGGCCAGATCAACAGCCAAATCTGGCCGTCAACGGCCAGATCTGGCCGTATTTGCTCTCAATGACGGCCAACAAACGGTCGTCGTTGATGGTCAACAACGACCGTTTGTTGGCCGTCGTGACCGACTGTTACGGCCAAAGATCTGGCCGTCAACGGCCAGATCGACGCACTACAGGCCAGATTCAGCCGGTAGTGCGCCATCCTACCAGATTCCGGCCATTTTCCGGTGGTAGTGGCCGAAATCTGGTAAATGTGGATTATTAGGGTGTTTTTGTAATTTTAAAAAAAATATTTATGAGTATTTAATTAAATTATCAAATTTAAAGGGTTTAAAAAAAGTTGAATAATATTGAGAGTAGTATTCCCAAAAATCTGAATTTTTGAGTATTTTACTGTTTAACTTTTTTGGGAATACTAAAGTAGTATTCCCAAAACTGAAACAAACTCAGCCTATATCATTTTTAGAAAATTATTAGGTAAGTGGTAGTTAGAAATTTTAAAAAAATGTTTTTTAAATTAAAAACCTTCTTTTAGAAAAATATTTATTGCATGTTTAATTAAACAATAAAATGCATTCAAATACTTTCTTAAATAAAAATAACAAAAAAAATCAATTTTTATTTTATGTATCCGAAAATTTCTTTTGAGGGGTTTATTGGTTAAGAAAAGAGTGGATTAAAAAAGTCTCGTTTTTTCTGAACCAAAAAAAAAAAAAAAAAATTCTTGTTTTTTAATAAATTTACTCTTATATTAAATTAACTTTATTTTCTATTTCTTTCTAATACTTCTGATACTCCGCTATTATATTATAAAGTCTAATTTTTCTAATGCTATTTAAATCATATTTAAAACAAAAATATTATACAATATAAATTTTTTAAGTTTTTAATTGCTTCACATATAAATTTATTGTTATTTATATTTTCAAAGTCTTGGTCAATATTTTAACTTATATTGTTTTTGTGTTGTTTAATTATGCTCTGTTCTTGGGATTATCTGTAAGAATTTTTTCTTTTAGCTCTGATTTTTTTTTTTTTTAAATATCTAAAATTTTATTTTAAGAATAACAACGGTAACTGGTAAGGGTATATAACATGAGTAAACGGAATGAAAAGCTAACTCTTTTAAAATATAAAAAACTAGAATGAAGGGAACTTATGGGATGCCATAAGAAAAAAAATTAATTTTGTATAATTAAAAATATAAAACCTTGAAGTAAAAGTATGTTAGACGAAGAATAGTATTTTATTTATTACAATTATATTCTCCTTTAAACTTGAAGATGAGACTAAAAAGGAAAACAATGGAACTAGAAATAAATTCCCTAACAAAATTTGTAGGCCTTGCAATTACATCCTCACATGGTATATAGACATGAGAGACCACAGTTGTTAGGCCATTTCAATAGGAGAATTGGTAAAGTCAACACCTTGAAAAAGGGCTAATATAAAATAACTATATTAACTATTCTTTTCATATTCACATTGAATTCCATCAATTACCAAAATACTCTCACATCTCTTTACATTCCATCATGGTTTTAAAACCCGAACTGACTCAACTGGTTGAACCGGGGCACGGGACCTTCTCCGGGTCAGGTTACCTTTTCAACTGTTTCAAGTTTAAAATCTATCAAACATACCTCTTATTAATACGCATTGGTGCCTGAAGGTTTGAAATCCAGCAAACACACCCTCTGGCCACATGCAAATCGGCGATGACCTCCCCTTTTCTAGCGACCATCCACCTTCTGACTTTCTTTGGGGCTATGACGCTTCATCTCCTGTCGCTGCGCGATATTTTGTCGTCCAACAATTTTTCTTCCATTTCCCAACGTCGATCGCTCATTCTCTGACATCGATAAGCCTCCTCAGCCACCGATCTACCTTCTCCCAAGTTCCCTTGTTGTCGTTTACGAAGATCCATAGTCATCTCGCCAAAAAAAGCCACTACAACCGTTTGACTTTCACCACTGATCTGCCACTTTCCGGCGATGCCTCAACTTGCCAACTGCTGATTCGTCCTCCCCATCACCCAATCCACCCTCCCTGGTGTGTCGTTGCCGCTCTCCCAGTTGATCGCCGATTTGATTTGGCCAGGGGTTGTGTTTACTAGATTTCAAACCTATAGGGTCTGATGGTATTTATTAGGGGTGTGTTTGCTAGATTTTAAATTTGTCAAACCATTGGTTAAACTGTCGGTTAAACCGGTTAACCCGTGACCCGGTCGCCTGAGCGGGTCACCCCCCGAGTTGGGTTTTAAAACCTTGCATTCCATAAAATAGTTTGTCTTTTATGACCGACCTTATTTAAATATATTTTTTTATAAGATAATATCATAGACTATCCTTAGGGGGCGTTTGATTTAGGGAATGTTGGATTACTAGAAAGTTAGATTACCTTGAAGATTACTAAGAATCTTTAGGAAAATGTGTTTGGTTAATTGATGGATATGTTATATTAATATGTTTGGTTGGAAGGAATAAATTGGTGGGTATGTTATTTAAATTACTGAATTGTCCTCTAATTATATATTATTATTATATTATTTTTTAATATTGTTTATTATTTGGATTATTATAACCCCCTTGTATTTAAAAACTTAGCAAAAACAACCCCGTAATAAAAGTTTGGAAAATCAACAAAGCATCCCCACAAACCCAGCCACTGCCGGTCGTCGGCAACCACCGCAGACCATTGGCAGCAGGCAACCTAACGGTGCATGGAAGGCAGGAAATGGCCTCTGTGCGTCATATGGCCATTTCCGGCCACATCCATATCGGCCCACGGCGGCCATTTTCGGCCTTCCGTGCATCGTTCTGGTGGCGGCAGCGGCTGGCCGCGGCAGGTGGGTGGGGGTGGGCTACAATTTGTTTTGAATTTAAGGGTAATTTTGTCCAAACAGTTAATTAATTGGGGTGAAATGGTAAAAGCTATATTCATATAAATAAATTCAAAAATAATGGCATTATTGTCCTAAAATTTTATCAATAAGGGATAGAATTATAAAAAAAAAAAAAAAATTACCCTGGTAATTTAGAATACCTAAGAAAATTGAAGTAATCAGATTACCTCCAATATTACCAACAGTAACTACTATTGGTGTTTGAAAATTACTGGAATCTTATATTACTTACTTGACAATTAAACGTGGTAATCAAGTAATATAAGATAATATAACTCCAATAATCCCACATTACCCCCAACCAAACACCCTCTTAAGGTTTTTAAATTTATCATTCAGATATCAATTCACATTTTTTATCATATACCACCCTCAAAATTTGAAACCTTACATGGATACCCTTTTACCCTAACTTCATTATGTTTTCGTTTGTGGT